GACATGATCCTTCGAAGGAGGGGTGGGAGGGCAACATAGGACCCTTAACAACTAGAATAGTGCTCCTTTAACAGGGGTCTATAATACTCTAAGAGATCTATAGTGGGTTCTGTAATATAATAAGGCCCTTAATAAATAGAATAGGGTTGGGGGATACATTTTACTATCATGGTAAGAAGGGACCCCCCAAAACCCTACTCTAACTATTAAGGCCCCTACAGTACTTGGGATCCTTGACGAACCCTTGGGGTGCTGGCAAGAATGGGGATTACTAGGTCACGCAATCCCTTCGGACACCGCTCCGAGAAGGATCCGATAAACCAATATCCCACGGAGAAACTTTCGCGAAGCCCTGGAAGAGAGCTTCCAAGGATCTTTCTCCGTCGGTTGCAAGTGGGTAGTTCCCTAAATTAGGGTCCCTTTTAGGTCCCCGAAATGACACGCCACCCTCATGAAAAGGAACCTGGAAGGGATCCGAAATTAGGGAACTACCCAACTCGTGGTCCCAGGGAGTCCGGGTTCGAAATTCCGAGGCCCACCGGGGTCTTTCCGAGGGTTCCCTACTTCTTAGGGGTACTTAGATTTGTTTTTTAATTTTTGGTGATTATAATCCTTAAGAAACAGCTGAAATTGTAATTTTTGCTAGGGTTCTGAGTTCAGTATAGACTTGAGCTATGTAATGTGCCGTGACAGAGAAGCCCCGTGCACTTGAAAAGGGGATGTCAGAAGGATCCTGATACTAGGTCCCCTTAACCCCCCCTAACTATTCCCCTATGCCCTAAACCCAAAACCCTAACCCTTTCATAAAGAGCGTTTTTTTTCATCAAGGGTCTGCAGAACTTGACCCACAAGCCCAGATCGAATGATTAAAGAGAGCCCTTGGCCTGAAGTGTCGTTTTTAAGGGGTTAAGGGGTTATATAAGGGGTTTAGGGGTTGAGCAGAGTCCCAAACCCTACGCCTTGAATCCCAAAGCCTAAATTGCGGCTTTTCTGCTTTTGGAGCCCCTGAAGCCCCCTCAACCCGAAAGTCTTAAAGCTCCCTATCTCTGAACCCGAAAGCATCCAACACAAATCCTTTCGATGACCTGGGCCCACGTCAGGACAGATCCTGTGAAATGATTTCATTGGGAGTGTGGGACATCGTGGAGCTCTTACCCCATGTAGATCTTGCAGCAATAGACCGTCTGTGCAATAGTTTCGTCCACATTTTGAAGCCTGCGTAGGAAGAAACCTCGGCCAACGCACCCAAAGCCGACTTGAGATGACCTTGTTTCCCCCTTGCCCGAAACTTTTGCTTACAGACGCAAAGTCAGTATTCTTGGTTATTGAAGCACCGCCACGACCATGACCACGAGCCAGCCATGAGCACGCAGAACCGGAAGCACCAGGGCAAGCAGGACCACCACGAACAGGACCGGGACGACCAGGACGACCGGGACCACGACCGCACCAAGAGACCCGGAGAGGAGGAGACCACCAGCTAGCAGCGAGGACACCGTTGCCGCCATGTATTGGGAGCATCTGGTTCTACGAGCACCTTTCCAGAATGCTTCCCTCCCTGCTGGCGGAATTAGAGAACCGGACCTAAACGCCTTACCCCCATGTGCTGGCGGGATCGAGGCACAAGTGAGGGCAATGTGATGGAACTGACAATCAATCGCGAGAGGAGCACGGGGCCCGAGCAGGAGCAGGAGCAGTAGCATTAGCAAATCATTAGCAGCAGAAGCAGGTGCAGTGACCGGAGGAGCAGCCGGAGAAGTAGTAGCAGTCGTTGCAGTCACACCAAGGAAACCACATGCCAAACTCCAAACCCTAAACCCTTCAACCTTCAGACATGCTGGCAAAGATAAGTTTAAGACACAGTGGGGTCTGGATCTTTGGTGGCAGCTTTGCTGTTTCAGCTTCTAAGTTGGGGCCTTTAGGGTACTGCAGATGGAGGCGCTTGATAACGTAGAACCTGAGTTTGGGGTTTAGGGTCGGGGGTTTAAGGCTTTAGGGTTAAGGGTTATCACAGTTCGTCTTTGGGGTTCCTTCGTAGAAGCATACTACGAATTACTCCAGAGCCCTTTTGAGTTATATCGTGGAGCCCAGAATGCTTTAAAGGAGACTGTGAAAGGAACTCTGAACCCTAAACCCAAGCCCTAAATCCTACAGCTCTAGACCCTATAAGTCTTCAAGCCAACCCCAGACCCAAAATCCCTTTGTTTCGGGCCGCCCTAAACCTTAAACCCTAAACCCGTGTCGCTCTAGAGCTCCCTCACTTCGCCCGTCGTTCTGCTCAGGCTCTTCTTGAAAAGGTGGGAAGAAGGTCGGTAGGATTCATGGCCCCTCTTCGGGATTCGAGCTTAGGGCTGTTTAGGGTTTAGGGGTAGAGACAAGCCTGTTTCTTTGAGATGAACCCACCCACCTTCATCCCAGCCTTTGGGCCCTGAGCCTCGCTACTAGAGCTTCCCCAATCGAAGAGAGGTTTGTGGCAAGCAAGCGCGGCTCGGCTTCGTGCTTTTGTAACACATAGACATGTACATAGGCATGCGACATAGCACAAGCTTATTCATGATCATATAATACCTAGCTGCCAGCGCTGGTCGGACTCTGAACGGTTGGTAATTAGCCGACGTGCGAAAAGCTTTGAAGTGACATCGGAGCGCGGCACCTTGAGATATACAGGGGCCCCCAGACGCCAAACGGTAAACTGGCTCCAGGAATATCCTCGCATTTGCCTTTCTGTCGTGTCACCTTACCCCCCCCAAGCCTTGCCGATTTGGATCCTGGTGGGTTTACTCGGGGCTGCCTGCTGCACCCGTGCGAGATGTTTGGACAGCATGAGAAAAAGCTCAGAGCTTGGGTGAGCGTCTGAATCATGACACACTTAGAATAGGAGGAAGTCATAATCATCATGACAATGAAGCTGATACCGATAAAGATCATGATCATGGTCATGGACACCGTGCATGATCACGATCATGATGCCGGTAAGGGTCATGCTGCTGGAAATTGTCACGGTAGTGGCATTGGCAGAGCTGATGCCTGGTAATAAGAAGACTTCCGATGCAGATAGTGATAATGATACTACCACTGGCAGCCCTGCTTCAAACTGTTTTTTTGCAGCTTTTAGGGCTTTTGGGGTGTTTAGGGCTAGGGTTTGCGAGTATGGTTTTAGGCTCCCGGGGCTCGGTCGGAGGGCTCCAGGGCGATAAGACGTCCTTGTATTCCCAGCCTCGATAGAATGTTCCGGGAATTCCGAAGGGTGTTTTCAACTATCTGTGGGATTATTTTTCGAATCCCTGGTCCCTTTTCACCTGAAGCCCTAAGCACCGAAATCCCTAAACCCTAAACCCTAAACCCCTAAACGCCAAACCCCTAAACCCTTAAACCCTAAACCCCTAAACCCTAAACCCCTAAAGCCTAAAGTCTATGCCGCGAGCGCGACCTTGTCGTGAAGCGGCTCGAGATCGATCAGTTAGGCACAGCACTGCAGAGGGTGAAGCCTCTGCAGCTCGTGCTCGGCAATCACCGAATGACGACTCCCTATAATGAAGAGACCCTAAAACTTCATACCCATGCCCTTCGTTGCCTCAAAAATCCTAAAATGCTATTGCTCTTCCATACCTAGCAGCCTAAAACGCCAAGCCGCTAAGACTCTAAATTCCTATGACCCCCAAAACCTACAATCCAAATACCAAAAAATCCTAAAATCCTAATCCACAAAATAGTAATAACCCCAAACCCTAAGTCCGGAGCCCCTTTGTCACCCAAAAGCCAAAATCCAACACTCAAATTCTAAGGTCTCAAAAGCCAAAACCAAAAATCTAAGATTTCAAAATCCAAAATCTAAGATCTCACTATCCAAAACCAAAAATCTAAGATCTCAAAATCCAACGCCCAAAATCCTAAATCCACTCCAGACCGCTTGCGGCAGCGGGAGCCCCAAGCCTAAAGCTTGCTACTTCGACGTTTAGTTTAAAACCACCAGACCACGACCGGCAACAGATGGCAGGCCCAGGCCGCAAGCTTTCTATTTCGACGCTGAAATCCTCCAGACTACTACGGTTGATGATATAAATCCTGCATTATCGTAATGACCCTAAACTATGGGAATTATGGTTTATTCCTTATTATGGGTAATGCAGGATCTATACCAGCAACAGTATGACTACTATCGGCAGCGGGAGCCGCAGGCCGTCGGGCCACAACCTTCGTATTTCGACGTTCAAGCTTCGAGCCGCATGCGTGCGCAGAGGTCGTGTGCGAATCTACGACACAGAATTCCCAGGGATTTTCCACCGCGACTGATCGGATGGCTGCTGTCACGGTGGTTCCAGATATCCTTCTCTATACTCAACTTCCTTAATTTTCGCTACTTAATATCAAACATCTGCGCGCAAGTTAAGTTGCATCCTTCGGCTACAATGGCTTCAACATCCGTGCGATGTAAAGCCGATCCGAATCTCGGCTTCTGGATCGTATTGCTTGTGATTGTGTTTTGTATTCTCTAATGATAAAGCAGTTTAAAGAAAAATATAATTGAATACACAACGAACCTCGGGTGGGTCGTGCCGGCAACAGCAGCCGTGCGTCAGGCTTGGCACACCCTTACACCCTAAACCCCTAAACCCCGAAACCCCCAAGCCCCTAAACCCCTAAAGACCTAAACCCTTAAACCCTAAACTTCTAAACCCTTAAACCCTTAAACCCCCAAATCATTAAACCCTTAAGCCCTCAATCCTAAACCCGTAAACCCCTAAATCCCCTAGCCTTTTCCCAAGCCCTGCATCCCCTCAGACCTCCGACAGCCCCAAGCCCTAAACCCCGAAGCCTCATAGAGGGGCCTGGATACTTAGAACAAGGTTTGCGGGCCCATTATACTGCAACTATAGTATGGAGCCCCCAAGAACCCCTGTAGTTCCAAACTCTACATTTCGAGCAATGTCTCTTTCCTCTCATTGCAGCGTCGTGTTCAAGTTTTTATGTGACGGATTCCGAAGCTGACGCCAAAGACCATGGAGCTATGCATGAAGCTCGGCTGCCGCAAGAGTTTTCAGGACAATAAGGCTTTTATGGAGGTTTTTTCAAACCTTGGTAAAAAGGGTTTTACATGGCTGGACTAGGGGTTTAAAGGGTTGCGTAAGTGTTTCAGAGGGCCTGTTTAATCACGGTTTTAAAAGGGTTTTGAGTTCGGAGCTTTGAGCTGAGAGTCTTGTGTTTCGTTGACGTCCGACATCCGAAGCACTAAACTTTTAAACCCAGAACCAGAAACCGTAGGTTTCGAGGCATGCACGTTGTCACAAACTCCCTTAAGTCTCGAAGCCCAAAGGGTTGCACAAAGCCCAGAGCAACAAACGAAAACACCTCGGCGGGGCCGGCACCCTTCCCAAATCATGAGTAATATATATATATATATATATATATATATCTATACATATATATACATCTATATGTATATATATATATATATATATATATATATATATAGATGCATACATACACGCATATAGTTTTTTCGAGCATGTTCTCGTATATTATAGTATATTATAACATACTCGAAATGGCCCGTCCGCCCGTGGACGACGGCACATGATCTTCTCGGGGCCGGCGGTTTCAGCTTTTGAAGATTGAAGGTACATGGTTTCAGGGTTTAGGGTTGTAGGGTTTAAGGTTGTGGGGTTTGAGTGTTTAGGATTGAGGGTTTTATTGTTTTCGGGTTTAGGTTTTTGGGTTGGAGTTCAGGGTTTGTGCTTTTTGGTGTTAATGTCTATTGTATGGTTCAGCTTGGTTTTGGATTTGAGGATCCCAGCTGTCGGCCTTGTCTTGGGGTTGTGTGGCAGCGCGCAGGGATAGCTGTGTGGCTGTTGAGAGGGATTTTGATTTTGGCTTACGGTTTAGGCTCAGTGCCTGGACTGAAGGCAGCAGAGTTCATGACAGCTACCGAGAGATTGCACACGACTTGTTTGCATCTGTAAACCAAGAGCTTTAAGCTACTACTGTCGCCCACGGCTGGTGGACACAAAACGCCCTAGTACCTTCAGTACCCTGTCAGAGCTGGTTTCTGCTGGTAGACTCCCCTTTTCTTATCATGGGATGTGTGTCGTAAGGTACAGGAGAGTCTTGTTTTGGGTAATGCGTGGATTTTGGCCATCAGCAGCAGGGATCTTGATTCAGAGGCTTCCGCTCCTGTAGCTACAGCTCAAGTGCCTCTGCGAACTTGGACGTTCTGTTGACTTAGTAGGTAGTTAGTAGGTAGTAGGAAATTAGTTAGATGGCTCATGGTGATTGTTGGTGCCGTTATACCGTGGGGAAGGTACAACCAATAGGTCAAAGGGTCAAAGGACGCTCGGAGCAGGATAGGGCCTGTCGAATAGGCTTGTTTTCTTTGTGATCGAGGGTGGGTGCTTCATCACTTCTCCAATCTTCATCTGCACTTCTACATGTCTGGCAGCACGTGCAATGCAGCCGAGGTACCGCAATACTTTCATCCACCTTTCGGCGGAGGTGGCTGCAACGCAGGGCTGTACTCAAACCATCTCAAACCATGACGCCTTGAAGCTCTCGAAGTCGGTCCGAACGCTCCAAACTCCGAGAGCCCCAGGGTTCCTGTGCCCTCGCGTTGACGCTAAGCCCCTAAACCCTGAACCCTTAAGCCCGAAACCCCGAAACCCCTAAACCCTTTACCCTTAAACCCCTTAAAGCCCTAAACCCCTAAGGCCCTATGTAATCCCCCTAAACCCCTTAAAAACCCTAAAGCCTTTAAAGCCTCAAGCCTATTCCAGAAGGCCTTCAAGTTCGGATCCTCGATGAAGAAACCTCAAGGTTCCTTGCTCTATGTCCTCCAGAAAAGCCGAACAAGGTTTAGGGTTTAGGGTTTAGGGTTTAGGGTTTAGGGTTTAGGGTTTAGGGATTAGGGTTTAGGGTTTAGGGTTTAGGGTTTAGGGTTTAGGGATTAGGGTTTAAGGTTTAGGGTTTAGGGTTTAGGGTTTAGGGATTAGGGTTTAGGGATTCCTTGTTTTAATAACACCTTAAACCGTCAGAGATGAGAAATACTTTGGTTCCGGATTACGCTCCCACCCCTGAGCCCCACACCCCAAACCCTGAGCCCGAAATCCTAAACCCTAAAGTTAACCCTAAACCCTGAACCCTGAGAACCCCGCAGCCCTAACCCCGTAACCTTGAACCTCATAGGAGCACCCGGTTCCTCGATCGCAGAGCGCGCCGAACCTTTCAATGCTGAGCTGTGGGGAGGAGACGGAGAGCAAGGTTATTTTCTAGGGGTTAAGTGTCGGGTTTGGTGTTTGGGGCTCTAGGGTGAAGGTTTCGGATTCAGAGATGAGGGCCCCCGCAGCTGCATCAAAGATCCTTAAAAGAATCCCACAGGTCACCGCGACCTCCCACATCAGACGTTCAAGAGTTGCCTCCGGCCCCTCATGCAATACATTCTGCTAGGACGTGTAGCAAGGCAGTGAGTTAAACAGATCACGAAGGTATTTACCTTCGAGCATTACGGTTTCTCAAGAGAAGCACCCATCAAACGACGGTCACAACAGCGATGGGGCAGTGGTTGTGACGGCACTTCGCAGTAGGTAGCTTTCCACCTTTCTGGGGACAATTTGTTCCTTAGAAAAGCCAATGTCGAACCTGTAGTTCTTCTAGGATACCGGACAAATAAGGCCAGAAGTGTTCAAACGGTTCTCTAACCTGTCCTATTCTACTCTGTCCTGTTCTGTTATGCTTATCATACTGCATAAGATAACATTGTACTGTGTGATACATTGTATTGTACCATATCTACAGTAGACTACGTATATTACACTGTCTTGCATAGATGTTGCAGTGCTTTACATTATGTTACGTGATGTTGCTTTATATGACACTACATTACGTTATGTCATGATACGTCATGTTATGCTGTGCTATGTTATGTTGCTGGCTTTTGCTATACAGTATAGTTCTCTACATGATATATGGGAGTTTCCGAAAATAGGGGACCCTAATATAGTACCCTGAAATAATAGGATCCTTATTATAAGGAACCCTAAATAAGGTACCCCTAATTTTCGGAAACTCCCATATTCTCCTGTGATACCAGACCTCGAGCCCTCATGTCTTGCCCGGTGTCTGTGCATCTGCGGAAGCCTAAACATAGCAGCGACCTTACGATGCCAACGACCATAAACCCTTAAAGCGCGACGCCCTAGCTCTAAATCTTACAAGTCTCAACCTTACACCCCAAAGCCAAAGCCGTAAACCCTAAACCTTACAGGTCCCAAAACTTAAAAGCCCAAACCACAACAACGGACAGGCTCATACTTGTCCTAGAGACGCCAAGCCCGAAAGGTTCGACACGATTGTCCCGAGAGTCGTTGCTAAGTAGAATAGGGTTCCTTCGGTTTAGGGTTAGGGTAGAGAGCATGACGCCCGAAAATACACACCGCCATGGCAGCGTTTCAGGATTTTTGCTTTTATATAGCGTTCCTGCAAAAGTGTTCGGGGCCTTCCTGAGGAAGTTAATCTAAGTTAACAGGAAAGCGGATTAAAGTAAACAGTATGCCTTGCCTACGATGGTAGCCCCAACTTGAGCTCCTTGATGAGAACCCTAGACTGCCTTGGACTCTATACCCCTTCATGGAATCCCTCTACAGTGAACCCTAAACCCTAAGGTATGGAACTTGATGCGTAGACTCGAAGTGTGTGCCCCCTAGCCCCGGATTCTTCGCACCTGACAGGAGCTGGTGCCGCTGAAGGACTCTCAACTTTGGTGTTTGGGGTCTGGCCTCTAGTTGGGGGTTATTAGCTCCACAAGCTGTGCTTGATCCTATAACGCCTACATGTTTGGCGACCCTTAGGCAGCTTATTTGGTTGGTAGGGTTCAGCCTCTAGTAGGGGTTCAGGGGACCTTGAAACCCCCCAAACCCCTCAGCCCCAAACCCTATGCACTAGTTGGGGGTTAGTTGGGCTTACTTGGAGGGTCGGGGGACTTACTAAGTGGTTATTTTGTAGAGTTATAAGTACCATAACCCCAATTAGGATCCCTTTAGGGTACTTATAAGTCTACTTATGACCCACTTACTAAGTCCCCCGACCCTCCAAGTAGTGTATGAGCCGCGGCTCCCGGAAGTGCCGATCCCATTTCAAAAAGAAAAGAAGCAGGGGTTTGGGTTTCTCGATTAGGGTTTAGGGTTCAGGGATTAGGGTTCAGGGTTTGGGGTTTAGGGTCTGGGGGGGGTTAAAGAGTTTAGGGTTTAGGCGCCGCAACTCCGACCAGACACCAAACATCCGTCCACCAACAACACCTCTAAACCCGAAATGCCAAAAGCCCTACGCCCAAGTCCTAAAGCCCTATGGCCGAAACCCTAGGCCCAAACCCTAAGGCCCAAACCCTAAGCCCAAACCCGAAAGCCCAAACCGTAAGGCCCGAACCCTAAGGTCTAAACCCTAAGCCAAACTCTACAGCCCAAACCCTGATGCCCAAAACCCTATACCCAAAGGCCCAAACCCTCAAGCCCAAACCCGAAGGCCCAAATCCGAAATGGAGCGTGCCTTCACGACGAAGTTTCGTGCCTTGTCGACGAAGTTTCGTGCCTTGCCGGCGTGCCTTGCCGACGAAGTTTCGTGTCTTGGGCCTTGTCGACGAAGTGTCGTGCCTTGCCGACGAATGACTCGTCGCTACCCCTTCCTACCCCTAAGGCCTACGCGCTGGGCCGAAACCCTGAAGCCCAAATCCGGAAATGGAGCTTGCCTTGTCGACGAAGTTTCGTGCCTTGTCCGCGAAGCTTTGTGCCTTGTCGGCGAAGTTCATTAAGGTTTAAATTACTATATTAAAGAGAGGTTTAGGGTTCAGGGAATAGGGTTGGGGGTTTAGGGTCTCGGGGGTCACCAAGACCCCTCCACCAACAACAGCGCTAATCTCGAAACGCCAAAAGCCCTACGCCCAAAGCAGCTCTCAGCGCAAAGCCTCAATTGCCACCGCAACCTCTGAAACCTCATCCCCATCTATTTTGGAGAGCTTGTAACGTTAACCCTGAAGACCTGAGTCCGAAAAAGCCCTAAAACCCTAAACCCTCACCCTAGAAAGCCCGAGTTGCCTCCTCCAGGCTGAATCGCACCTGTCCAACTTCCTCGAGCGCGTGGCCCAGAACTTCCGATGGACGGACAGGTGCGGGGCAGACTTAGGCATTTCAATTTCGGCTTCGGAAACCCTACTTGGAGGTTCATGGGTAGGTATAAGTAGGGTCAATAGCCCCCGAATATGAGTCATCAGTACAGTTACCTTACTTATAGCACCACTTATAACTGCCCATGAACCTCGAAATAAGCCCTAAACCGTCCGACTCTATCAGAGCCACGGTTCAGGGCTTGGGGTTTAGGGAGTCTCCGAGTGCAACCCGGGGATGCACAAGGGCTCTTGGACAGGGTTGTGCTATGTTTCCGCAGGGTTTCGGAGTGTCGTTTAGCGGAGCCGTTAAAGGCATGCCAGGTTGCAAAGGCATTGACACGTTTACCGTGTGGTGCAATTTTCAGTAGCTCCAAACGCGCTGGTGCTTGCTAGTGGCGCCCTGGTTTCAAGGTCAAAGTAGCATGTTTTTTGTTCGGGCTGGTGAAATTATGGACAATAGTATCTTGATATGTCTCGAAATCGGAAATTTACGTCCGTGGTGGTGTCAATGCAACTGCCCACCCCAATACAAACTCGCAAAGTGTTTTCATGATTAGGGGGTATTTTTATCTCTACTGTCACTTTCGAGGGCTCTTGCTCTTGCTCCTAGGCTTTTGCTCCTGCTTTTGCTCCTGCGCCTGCTCTTGCTGTTGCTCCTGGTGTTCCTCCAGCTTTTGCTCTTACTCTTGCTCTTGCTCTTAGTCTTACTCCAGCTCTTGCTCTTGCCTTTGCTCTTGCTCCTGCTCTTGCTCCGGACCGCCCTAATGCAAATTGGGTTTTAAAGGGGCCGGGGTGATTTCGGCGGGATTCGGCCCAATGTGTTTTTATTATTGGCGGGGTGTCTAAAAAAAGAGGGAAGTGATCAGCAAGACAGAAGAGCCTGGAGGTAGTTATGTTACTCATCCTCGTCGTCCTCCCCCTCGCCGCCCTGCCCGAATGTGGTTGGTGCCAACCAACAATCCTGCCGGAGAATTGAAGATTGGCCCAAAAAGCCGAAGCACTGGCGCGGACAAGCGGCAACACACCTGCTTCGAGTTCGCGCTTAAAGCGACGGTGACCATTAACGTTAGCGCAAGCCCGTTCGGAAGGGAAGCTGCCTTGGAGCTGGGAGCCTGAAATGTAGCTCCTGGAGCCGAAAAGAGTGCAGCTAGAGTTGGTGCCGCAAGTTGAAGAAGGAGGTAAACCCTAAACCCTCAACTTTTCGGGAACAGATGTTGGCCTCGGAGTAAGCCTGAACCCTAAACCCCCAAACCCTAAACCCCTAAACCCCAGCCCTGTAAGGAGCATGCCAGAGCCGCCAGGCCACTAACGCCGAGAGTTCCCGGCAGCTTCGCACACCCAGAGGCGGTGGCACGTGTGGGGGCTCCTTTAAGGGCCCCTTTAAAGGGATCTATAGGGATTCTAGAAGGGTTTTGGGTTCAGGGCCTACTTGGAGGTATATGAAGTAGGGGGGACTTATGACCCAACTTATAGCTACCCCTGAACCTGCAAGTAGGGGCTTCTTTGAAGGTTGAGTCGAAGGGGGGAAGCCGTTCCTAAATGGGTCGTAGCTGGAGCTCGTCAAATCAATTGCATGCGGGCTCACCCCAACCCAAACCCGAAATCCAAAAAGAAGGTCGGCCAAGACCGTCAGCTCACTGCGCAGTGAATGTGCTTGCGCGCACAAATACAAGCAGCGGGAGATCACAATGGCACTATGAAGCAGCCTACGAGTTCTTTTTACAATTCTTGAAAATTCCCCATTATCATCATAGTAAAAGATCTGCACAGAATTCGTCAAACTATTGCGGCCCTGTATTGCCTGTATTTGCCGGTTGCGTGAGAGAGCCCTGTTTTTGAAGGAGGATTCGCTACAGTGTCACTCTCCAGAGAGTCCCTGAACCCCAAAGCCAAAACCCTAAACCCAATCCATACCCCCAAACCCTTTTCTGGGTCTTGCCGAATTGGGAGAGCTTCAATGTTTGCTGCGTTTCAACGTATATATCGGACCAAAGCTATACATTATTTTGAGGACTGTTGAAACCCCAAACTCTATCCCTATAAACCCTAAGCCCTACCTTTTCTCTGCGACCTCCTTTTGACCCCGAGGCTCATCTTTGCTGTCGTATTGCTGATACTTTGCAAAGCTCCAGGGGTAGAGTTTGGATCCCCTAATTTGGGGCCCCATACCATGAAGCGTACTTCATAAGAGCCCCCATTAAGGGATCTACTTCTTGGATCCTCCGGGTTTAGGGCTTATGGGGTTTCAGGTGCAGGGACGTAGGCAGAGAATTTAAAGGGAGTCTCGCACTGCATTGGAAAACCGCGAAGTCTGGGTTATCGGAAGCTGACGAAGAGCCAACAATCTTCCTGTGAGAAGCCGGATCTTTCAGATACCTTTGATGTTTCAGGTTCTGTCGGTTTCTGAGCTTTTTGAGAACTCTTGTTATCGGGCTTCGCGGTTTCATGTACTCGTATCGAAGGCCGCGACTCCGTGGCTGTGGGGTCTAGAAAATGGTGGCAAAGGCTCCGGCTGATATCTTTTTGCTAATGTCTCTCTTGAATTTTCTCATGTTTCCTTCTAGTTTGCGCATCCTGCGAAAAACCCATCTCTGTAGCCACCTGAAGCCTTAAGTCGTTACGACTGTGCTTAGGCCTGCACGGACAAACCGCGCAGGCATGCAGCAGACCGTGTATCCTTTATCGCTTTGGAACCTGCACAAAAGGCAACTGGGCATGAGCTGGTCGTTCAGACAGTGCAGTTGAAGCGGTTTGATGTTGCCGGGTTACATGGTGACATGACATCGGAGGTCCAAAAGCTTCTAACTGGCGGGTGAGGCTGTTCCAGTTCAGCCTTATGAGGGCTTGAACGCATGTATTTATTCGTGGGTGTGTACAGCCTCAGCTTTCAACCCAAGTATAGCATAATTGGCCCCAAAACCCTATTCCAATCATTACGGCCCCATATCAATAACAAGTACAGGGCCCAGATGGAGACTGCCAGTAGGACTTGATTTTGAGTAGAGGAGGACGGAACGCACCCTAAAGCCTTAAAGCCCTAAAGCCCCCAAACGGAAAAGTGAATATGGGGGCCTTGGCAATTAGAATAGGGTTCCTTCAAAGGGTCTATAAGGGTTACTTTAAGTTAAGGGATCCCTTATATTAAATCTCCGCACCCAGAAACATCCTTTAAAGGCGCTGAACACTCCGTTGAGGCTCATATATGAGGCCCACGGCCAATTAGGGTACTTATAACCTTACTTACTAAGTCCCATGATCCTCCAAGTAGACCCCGACACTCTAAGCCGGGGAGGGGGAGCTCGGAGCCGGCACTTGCAGACGAAGGAATGTGCTCACCTTAAAGTAAAAGCCAGAAAGATGGAATATGATTATCCTAAACCCTTTATGGTTAATTCTAGGGTATCCTACCCTGAAACCATATTCCAACTTTCTGGAGTTCCCTCTAAGTCTTCAACTCTAAACTCATAATCCCTACCCCTAAGCTCTTGTGCCAAAGCCTTACAAACCCCAAAATTGGAACCCAGAGCCCCAAACCCAGAACCAGAAATCTGCTAGTACCGTTAAAGGGCTACTAGACCTGTTCCTTTGCCATGGCTTCTGTAAGGATTGCCACAGGGTGCAAAAAAAGGGGCCTCTTTACATAACTAACTAGATCACCCTAAACCCTAAACCCTAAACCCGAAACCCGAAACCCGAAACCCGAAACCCGAAACCCTAAACCCTAAACCCTAAACCCTAAACCCTAAGATCAGTTTTTTTTTGGGGGGGGGGGGCTCGGTTTCGTGACGAAGGCTGGTGCTTTTCGAGGCTGAGTTCGCGGATTGAAGGTTGGCGTGCAAGGGTTACCTGTAGCCGACAAGACTTAACCTTTTTAGGATTCCTTGTTATGGTTTCTATATGTAGTTCCCTAGAATCGTAGGTCTTTTCGGCTACTACAGGTAATGCCTCATTCACGAATTAAGGTTTCGGGCTTTTATGATTTCGAGTGTAGGGTTGAGGTTTAACGAGGAATTGAGGTTTAGGGCTATGTAGGACCTTAGGATTTCGGGTTGAGGGTTGAAGCCTAAGGCTTAAGGAATCGAGGTTCAAGGTTTACGGTTGAGGGCGAGGGGCTGATGGTTTAAGGGTTTAAGGGTTTCGGGTGTACGTACAATTACAGAGGGAATGTTGGGGGAAAGCGGTTTAGGACCGGAGGACGAACATGTCCGTTCATGAGGTGCGGTTTAGCATGCCCCTTAACACCTCAATGCCTAAGCCCGAATCGCAAGAACCCTCAACCCTACACCCGAATCCAAAACCCTCAACCCCAACCCCCAAGACCCTAAACCTTACACCCCAAATTCTAAGGCCCTGAAAGCCCTAAACCCTAAACCCTGAAACCCCATAGATCCCTTAAAGGAACCCCTTAAAGGTACCCTTATAGACCCTTTAAAGGAACCCCAGGATCTGTGACCCTAGACCCCTAGAACCCCCTAAACCCTAAACCCTTGAACCCCTAAAAGCCCTAAGCCCTAAACCCTAAGCCCCTGTACCCCTGCACCCCTAAACCCCTAAACCCTTAAAAGCCTTAAAAGCCTTAAACCCTAAACCCTTAAAAGCCTTAAAAGCCTTCAACCCTAAACCCCTAAACCCCTAAAAGCCCTAAAAGCCCTAAAAGCCCTAAAAGCCCTAAACTTAACTACTCAAACCCCTAAACCCTAAAAAGCCCTAAAACCCTCCAAAGTCCTCGTTTCCTCTTAAGCCAAGGTCCCTCCTGCGAGTTTTGCCACCTGGAGCACCCAAGGCGGGCTGCGGCGGCCCCGTGAGTTTAGGGTTTAGGGTTTAGGGTTTAGGGTTTAGGGTTTAGGGTGGGTTCCTCCAAGGGGTGTGTATTATCGGTGCCTAAACAGCTACCAGTGCTACATCTTGGTGGTTCCTTCTTATAATCATCGTTTAATTGCCCCCAAAACTCTATGCTAATTATTAAGGCCCCATATGATAGTACCCTTAAAGTATCCTTGTAGTGACCCTGATAGTCCCCCTTTAAAGGAGCCCTAAGACCTTCTTCTATTTATGAAGGGCCTCCTTGTAGGCTTCCATACCCAGGGTGGGGAGTTTGGAGGTTTAGGTTCTATGTTTCACGGTTCGGGCTATTGGTTGTCCAGCTCGGTAGTTGTAGGTCAGGTTGTATGGATAAGGGTTCAGGGTGTCAGTTTTTGGCTAGAGCTTTTGGCTGCAGTTGTAGTTGTTGGTGTAGTAGTTGTAGTTGTTGTTGTTGCTGTTGTTGCTGTCGTTGCTGTTGTTGCTGCTGTTGTTGTTGTGGTTGTGGTTGTGTTCTTTTGGCAGCACTTTTCATTTAGTTTCTTGTTATTCTCTCCACCTTTGATTCCGAACGCTTTGTACCGAGTACCACTTCCGCGTCCGAAAGTGACAATCGATGTGCCCGATATAGAGGTCGGAATGATTGCCAAGTTTATATTCCCGTAGGGCCCCCTGTAGTACACCCCGCGCATTGAGGCTAAGTGCAGGGCAGTAAAGGTGTTCAGACACGAAGGGCATTCGAGCATATTGGTTGAGGCGGTTTCGGGTGAGAGATTACGTTGCTTTTGTGCGGTTGAGGCTGCAGGATTCGCTTACGGTTTACCTGTAGCCGAAAAGACCTACCTTCTTAGGTTCCTTATTATGGTTTCTACATATAGTTCCCTAAACAGGTAGGTCTTTTCGGTTACAGGTAGTGAAAGGTGCGGCGCGTTTACACCCGAATGCGCAAGGGGCACCTGGTAAGCTTTGGAGAATGTCCATCACCCGCATCCCATACCTCGACCCTCAACCTTGAACCGCAAGCTCTACAGAAAACCCGACACTCGAAACCCCCAAAATAAGTTGCAAAATCAAGCCCATAACCTGATACTTTATAACGATGTGTCGAGCTGAAACGGAGCCGCTTTACACAAATCCATAGCGCCTTTTACCCCTTGACACAAAAAGAAACCTCAAGCCTAAAGCCCTAAACCCCAAACCCCTAAATCCCCAAACCCTTAAACCCTAAACCGAAAACCCTAAACCCTGAACTCCCAGACCCTAACCCTAAACCCAAGAGCCTAAAGCCGTAAGAGAAGAGGCCCAAGATGAAGCTCGACAAGATGCAACGGCAGTGCTACGACAAGCTCGACGAGCCGCAGGTGCACAAAGGGGCACCAAAAGGGGAGCCCTCAAGACCAACAGGGCCGGATGTCTAAGTCTAGGGGTTTCGTAGTGTAGCGCATAAGTGTGTAGGGTTCAGATGGGACGCATGATCAGGGTTACATTGGAGAATTTCATTTTCGAGCCACGTGCTTGGCAATTGAAGCGAAACGCTTCGAAGCGAGCTGCAGCAATGCCACAAGAACTTCTCGCGCGGCTTGCTGCCCTTGGCCAAACTGTCAACCGTCTACTGATCTGGGTGCCTGTCGTACAGGTTCAGTGTGTCATCAATCAGACACGCTGCCTAGCCGTGATTCTGCACAGGCTTTGCCGCATGCCGTTTAATTTGGTGGCAGATATGCTGTTGGGGATGATGATGATGGTGACGATCATGATGGTCATGACGTTGAAGGTGGCTGTTGTGAGAAGATTGTCTTGGCAGCCAAATGATCCGTGCTTATATCTCCATCATTCCCGCGCTTTCCTGGCTATTTTTTGCGAGCGTATTAGTCTCTTTGTTTGCTACCGTAAGAAGTGTTCGGCTTGAAGGCATGGTACCCTTGGCCAGTCTCAGATGTTAAGTTTCGTTCCTGCGTGGCGCCAGCCCCCGTTGAGATCTCTCGACAAGGGGAAAACTCTCAGAAGGTAAGCACCACTGCGACTCGCCATAGCAGCAGGAGTTTTTGGTAGGAGTCGGAGTCGGGGTGGCGCTTGCAATGGTATTGGCAGTGGCTGTGGTGGAGTGGTGTAGTAGCAGTAGCAGTAGCAGTAGCAGTAGCAGTAGTAGTAGTAGTAGCAGTAGTAGTAGTAGTAGTAGTAGTAGTAGTAGTAGTAGTAGTAGTAGTAGTAGTAGTAGTAGGGGGTGCAAGGACTAACTAAAGCAACCTTTCTCTTCGAGCCTGAGCAACATTCCCATGTGGCTGAGGTACTATCCTTGCTGCTTCCTTACGTAAAGCAGCGCGCCGATCAGCAGGCGCGGTTTGCGATGCTTTTCCGAAAAAGTCTTCAGTCTGTACCGAAACTGAGACCACCCGGAACCTACAGCCTGTTCAAATCCAACACCCTTTCAGCCGACTGAACCTGGCAGCAGTGGTCGGATAGAGATGCTTAGTGACTTAGTGTTGTCGCTTGGTCAAAATAGGATTGCCAAGACTCGCTTGCTCTAGGTTTCATTCAAGGTCTCCGCTAAGTGTGAGTGTTGTTCTCCGCCTGCAAAGAGTGGGCATCCCTTACGCACCTTAAGTTGAGCATACAGGGTGTCCTTCTTACAGTGCCATACCTCTCCAATGCACAGCCAGTGCTTTTTGACAGTCTGTGCATTGGACCAGGAGATCGGTGCCGATATTGCCCCTGTCATTGAGCTCATCGCGGCCTGGCAGATCCTATCTCTTTGTTACAGGTTCGGAGAAAAGGATCATGCGCATTGCAATGGGAAACACATGTGAGGTTGTCCGTGAGTCTGAGAGTTCAGGGCTCACGGTTCCTGTGACACCTCATGGCTGGTAAGGCAATTTCCATACTGGCAGTTCTTGGAGGAAGTGCCCCAGCAAAGATGCAAATCTAAAGCCCAGAACTGATGGTGATCTTTAGAATTACCCTTGTACCAGATCTGATAACTTGAGCCTTTTACGGCCTTCATCCTGTCCTAAAACTTCAAAAACTCAGAACCGTAACACTCACCGACCCTCGGGCCATCAGGCTCGGCGCTAGTGCGAGTTGGAGGATCAAGATTTAGGGTTTGGGGGTTAGGCGGTTAGTGGCCTCAACCCTACAGCTCCTACAGCCCTAAAACACAAAACCCTGAAGCTAGGAAATAGAGGTCGGAATGACTAGTGGTACTAGCAGTAGTAGTAGCAGCAGCAGGAGTAGTAGTAGTAAGTAGTAGCAGTAGTAGTAGTAGTAGTAGTAGTAGTAGTAGTAGTAGTAGTAGTAGTAGTAGTAGTAGTAGTAATAGTAGTAGTAGTAGTAGTAGTAGTAGTAGTAGTAGTAGTAGTAGTAGTAGTAGGAGTGTTGGCGGTGGTAGTGGTGGCACCAGTAGTGGTGGTACTACCACCCCTTACAATCTCCATATACGTATACTAGGTTATGTACCCCAGACAGCCTTGGGGGTGCGTTTGAACGCACTTTGGGTGGTCTGGGTCAATCCCTAAACTCAAGGCCCCAGACCCTACTTGGAGGTTCATGGGTACTTACAAGTGGGGTTAGAAGTAGGGTAACCAAACCTATACCCAATATTAGGGGACTTATATCCCTGCTTATAACTACCCATGAACCTCCAAGTAAGCCTTGGAAGCCTGAAGCACGAGTTTGAGTCGCTGGTTCTCGCATGGAAGCTTGCAGGTATAGCAGTCCAAAGAAAGCCCTGTAGGAATCTTATTGGCTGTAAACTCAACTTTTCAACTTTTGGGGTTCTTAGAAGGTAGTCGATTCTGAAAGTTTCAACTTTCATTTCCTTGGGTTTTGGGCCAGTGAGGAAACCGAAGATCTACACACTAAAATCAAAACTCCACGGCATTTCAGCAGAAGTCCGAAACCTTAGATCCGAATGCTGCGCCCAGAACAGCAAATCCTCAACCCTAAGTAAGAAGCCACGAGCCCCAAACTCGATGAACCCCCTCCATGTAACCCTTGTAAAACCCAGATCCTAAACCCCCCAGACCCTCCAAACCCCCCAAACCCCTAAACCCCCTAAACCCCTAAAACCCCTAAACCCCCAAAACCCCCTAAGCCCTGAACGCAAGGAGAGCCGACTCCAGGAAGCTTCGCCCCTTCAACGGTTGGGCTGGCGCAAGGCTGGGAAAAGGGGTTTCGGGGTTTGGGGGTGTAGGGGATTAGAGGTTTTGGGTTGAGGGCTTAGGGCTTAGGGTTTATGGGTTTGGGGTAGGGCTTAGGGTCTAGGGGTTTAGGGGTTTAGGGGTTTAGGGGTCTAGGGGTTTGGGGGGTTTGGGGGTTCAGGGGTTTGGGGTGTGCGTTATGCTACGACTTGTAAGACAGCCCTGAGGATTTGAGCTCTACGGGTTCTCTCATCAGGGTGTACGTTTCCGGGATGGTCGGAAGAGGGTTGGAGGCGGGGCTTCCTACGGGAGGATCCCAAAAGTAGATCCCTCAAGGGGGGTTCCTGTAACGTACCCTTGAGCAGCTAGGCTCCGAAATTAGGGGATCCACTTTTTCGCTCCTCCCGGGGGTCTGGGAAGGTTTCCGGGACCCATGTCATAGTCCAGCGGTTCAGAAGACCGGCCGACGGGGACTGAGGCTTTGGAAGCAGGATGCAGGGATTAGGGATTTGGGAAGACGCCTTGAGCTTCAGGGACTACTTAAAGGATCATGGGACTTAGTAACTAAGGTTATAATTAGGGTAGCTATACTTATAACTACTTATAGCCCCAACTAAGGTACTTATAACCTTACTTACTAAGTCCCATGATCCTCCAAGTAGAGTTTTGGAGTTAGGGAGACAAGATTTGGGGAAACAAAACTTGGGACTTTTGAGGATTGCATGTAGTAAAGTTCGGAGCTAGGGCTTGAGGTTTAGACTTCTCACTGACTTAACACTCCGCGGTGCCTTCTTATGAAGTACTGGACCTAAGCCCGAGACCATAAGCCTTAAACCCTCAACCACATACCCAGAAACCAGGGGACCCGATCTATTCTCATCCTTGTTCTTCTTACTAGCAGTATTGTTAGTACTTTCTTGCTGTTATTATGATCACGGTTGTCATGACTAGAATTACTAAGGGTTTAGGGTTTAGGGTTGGGGTTGGTGTTCCGGGGTTCAGGGTTTAGGGTTTAGGGTTTAGGGTTTAGGGGTTCAGGGTTCAAGGTTCAAGATTTAGCGCTGAGGGTTCAGGGTTCAGAAGTCGTAAGGCTCTGAAATTTAACTTGGAACAGTGAGTCGTGAGTACTGTGCCGGACTTTCACTACTACAGGACGCGGAGCGCCCGAAAAGCTCATGTTGATGGGCCTGGCTATTGGAAACTAATCCATCGGAGGAAGAATGAATATTGATGATAGAAATCCTGCATTACCTTAAGGACCCTAAACTATGGGAATTATGGTACATTCCTTCTTATGAGTAATGCAGGATTTGAATCATCAAGCGTATCATCACTTTAAAATTATGCGAGGGTGATGTGCCGGACGGAGGACTTGGGTGGAGGAGCCTACCGTGGAAAGGGGATTTTAAAGTACCTCGAGTTTTCGTCCTAGTAGTAGAGCCTTCATGGCAGCTATTATCATTGTTTTCACAATTCTGACTTGAGTTATGACGACCAAAGTTTTCGTCACAATTGTCGCTTTGTTTCAGTATTATCATCATCACTGTTATCATTCTTCTATTTCTTCTGATAAATCATAATTAGTACGGACGCTGTGGTCGTACCGTTGATACCATGTACTCTTATTCGTCTTACCAGGACCATCGGTAATGTTGTGTTTCCTATCATCTCTGTGACTTCTTTAGCTATTGCTGTTTTCCCCGAGCAGTGTGGTACGCAACATGGGCTTGAAACGTTGTGTCTACAGAGAATTAGGTGGTTTACACAGGATCGTGGCGGACACCTGGCTCCGAGAGGGAAGATGAATGTCTGGCGCACACCAAACGAACGACCAACTGCAAGGACCACCACGATGGGCCTGGTTCCCTTGGTCCTCGTGGACATCTGGTGCTCTTATCACCCTGCTGGTATAAGTCATATAGTATACTATAATATACTATACATCACCGAGACAAAAGTTTCGAAATGGGGATGAAAACTTTTCAATACACCATGGGCATACGCCGCGGAGCCGCAGGTCCGTTTTACATGGCCAGCGTGGCGGAGTAGTTGATTTCCTGGAGTAAAATTATGCGACTATATAGTTCTCGACGGAGAGCCTCTGGGATCTTGTGTGAGGAGTCTACGGGGGAAAGGGGGGTCCAGTGGCCTCATATGTTGAGTTCGAGCCCGTGTGGCGAACTGTTGTCCTGCGGTAGTACTATACTATAACATACTATAAGAATTTGCTATACTACGATAATAATTTGCTATACTATACCCTACGAAAATAATTCACTATACTCTACTATGATAGTAGGTCGTGGCCCCAAGTACCAGCCCCCACCCTCTTGGAGGCTCAACTGCTGGATCGATCTCTTCGCAGGCTGGGGTTTTAATGCAGAACAGGGCTCAGCACGACAGCAGTAAGCCCTAAACCCTAAACCCAAAAACCCTAAACCCCCCTAAACCCCTAAGACCCTAAACCCGAAACCCTAAGCCCTAAACCCTATTTGCCCTGAGCTCTTAACCCACCACACTTTTTCCAAAACCTTCCCCTCTGCCAGACGCCGACCTGCGTAGCGCTTGGGCGTAATTCCTACTTGCAGGATCATGAGACTTAGTAAGTATGGTTATAAGTACCCTAATTGGGGTTATAAGTAGTTATAAGTATAGTGACCCTAATTATAACCCTAGTTACTAAGTCCCATGATCCTTTAAGTACACTCAGTACTCCAAAACCTACTACTTGGAGGTTCATGGGTAATTATACCTGGGGTTATAGGGGTTCCTTTAAAGGTTCTATAGTATTCTGTAGAGTTTTTATATAGGTTTAAGGAGCTATAAGTGGCGTTATAAGTGGGGGTAAGTATGATTATGACGCATAATGCGGGGCTGATGACTCCACTTATAACTACCCCTGAACCTCCAAGTATTCCAAACCCTACTATCTGGTGCTTGGTAGGGAACGGCGTGCAGGCCGCTGAGTGATTGAATGCTTGAGTGATTGAAAGGTCAAGGTTCCGCATGTGGGGTGCTGTTCGTGGTTACGGGCGAGTCCAGGGTGTTTGCGCTGTTGCATGCTGTTCCCAACTCACTAAAAAACCGCCTCTTAAACTCAAACCTCAGAGCCACTAAGCCCCTCGACCGCGAGCCAAGCTGAACCCCCGAGTCGTTTCAAATTCCCTAAACCCTGCAGGATGAACACGTCCCGTCTCGTGGAGCTCTTGGTTGGCCACCCGAAGGTGCGCCAGACTCGCCAGAGACTCCAATACCCCTTAATTAAGGAATATACCTTAAATCTATTGGGGACCCTACTATAATTTAAGGTATATTCCTTAATTAAGGGGTATTGGAGTCTCTGACTCCAACTCGAAACCCTTGTGGTTTACACGGCGTGGTTGTCAATATCGGGATTCCTTTTGGGATCCTTATTATAATATGGCACCTAATGTCTAGGGTACCCAAAAAAGCGACCATCATTTTGACAACCATCCCACATCTTGGTTAAAGTCTAACGTGTATAAAGTTTAGGGAGTTTCGGGCTCGCTGCGCGGCGGCAGCAATGTTAACCCTGGGATGGCACAAAACATGCCCAGAGATGTGAGGGGGGAGGGTCCGTCTAGGACACTGGGGTGCAACTTCACCCCAACACAACTCTAAGCCTAAACCCTAGAGCCCCAAACCTTATTACTAATTAAACCCTAAACCCTACACCCTTGTGTTTATCCGCCCGCTGTGAGCTTACACATGCTTCCGGAGGCCTCCTCGAAGGACTCTGGGTTTGTAGGGGTCTCTGCTGGTACCGGCTCTTCGGAGGTTGTCTAGACCCGTCTCTGAAGGAGAAACTGAGCCATGCCATCGAAGTCACCCGAGGGAGCTAGCTGGCGCAGAAGGGAATTCCCTCCATGTCCAGATCACTACTACTATGGGGGCCTTAGTAATAACTACCTATACTTTTTGGGGTTCCTTATTTTCATCATAGTATGATATTCCCCCAAACCCTATTCCAATTATTAAGGCTTCCATATTAGGTGTCTTGGGTTCGGCCCCATGGGGCTTGGCGCATAAGTTTTAGACCCCAAACCGACGCCTGAAGCCGTAAACCCTAAACCCTAAGACAGGCTTTGCACCCACAGAGGTCTCAAGTGAATTTGAGGAAGCACTGGTCCCGGGGACGTGGTACTGGGCAAACTAGCATAGCTAGTTCAGAGCTTGGGGTTTAGGGATGTAAGGCTTGGCATTCGGGGCTAGCCCCAAGCAGTGGTTTCCATTTGCGCACTCGAGCTACACTGTGGCAAGATACTTCCGCTTATGCGCCACTCTACGGCAAACTTATTGTATAATGTGCCCCAAAACCTATTTCTAAAACTTAATTTTTAAGGCCTCCATGTTAGACTCGGAGCCTTGGACCCACCATCTTGAACTCAAACCCCTTCTCACCAGGTCGGCACCAACTTTGCAGACCAGGTCTCCTTGCTCTTCGGTCGAGCACGGGCTCTCATCCAAATGCGGTCAGCTGTGTGAAAGTTTTTGAGATGATAGATTTGGGTGCTTGTCAAAATTACGGTCCCTTTTTGGGTACCCTAAATATTTGCCGTAGTATAAGAAGGACCCTAAAAGGGACCCCGGCCCCAAAAGGGCCCCTAATTTTGACAACCACCCCCATTTTGGGTTTTAGGGTTTAGGGTTTTCGGCTCAGAGCCTCGGGTAGATTTTGACAGTGTTGGTTAGGGGACGCGTTTAAGCGTAGGGCTTTCAGATTCTGGTTTCCTTTGTCCCTTTTCGGGATCTGAACTGCATGATCATAATGACCCTAAACTATGAGAATTATGGTATATTCCTTATGGGTAATGCAGGATTTATACCAGCAACAGTAGTTCGATAAGGGTTCTAGGGCTTCAGGGCTGTGCGACTTTTCAACGCACCGGAGGCTTGGACTTGAAGTTGATTTAAAGCTTGGGAAGGGGGTGAGGGTTTAGGATGGTTTAGGGTTTAGGGTTTAGGGCTGTGCAAGGCATGCCCGGGCTTGTGGCAAAGAGCTGGGACAAGTGGTACGGCGTGCATTGCGCATCGAAGCGATGCCAGCAAGACACTTTTGCCCACTGCAGGCTGACTCTGTGGCATCTCTGTAGAAGTTTGGGGCTGAGGCCCTTGCCCTTGAGTTGGTTGCGATTTTAGAACCTCGGAAGGCCTTCATGCGGTGCACAACCTGTAAGTTTCTGCATCTGATTTCATCGTGGACATGCTGTGAGGGCTAGCATGCTGCACCTCCGCACAGATAAAGTCAATGGCTTTCAACATCTGTGGCTATCAGCGTGTAGCTATCAGGTTTGTTTCAAGTGGAGTTGGTACAGTGCAGGCATGTGGGGTGGTAACATTAGTATCAGTTGCTGCATCCGGCAGTGCTACCGCATGGGCATTTCCCGTTTCAATGATGCCTTCGGGCACCCGTTTTCAATCTCGACAGCTGTTCACATTGTGCGCAGAAGGCGACTCTGGCGGCGACCCTGTCCCGTGTCTAAGCCAAAGCCTTGGTGCCTGAGGGAGGTTGCTACACAAATAAGCTAGACCGTGAAGTCTTTGTCCTGCAGCCGGCAACTGAAGCTTTCGGCCAGCTCTTGAGCAACCACCGCTTTGAGAGTCGCCTTTGCGCCCGACTCAATTTTCCGAGTCGAATGTTTTGATTCTGACCTGGTGATTGGGCGTCATGCACACAGCGAACATCTTCGGAGTCGTCGAATACATGAAATATGCCAGTAGCAGTTGTAACACGAGAGAAATGGCAAAAGGCGTGACGCAAACTGAGCTGCAATGATAATATCGATGTCTGTACAGCAGCATGAAGATGGTTAGAAAGCCATGAAGACTATTGAAGAACAACAGCTGACAGCCGCTGTAGCTGTATCTTTTTGCAAATGTTCTAGCAGTCGCCATAGTCGTAGCTGTCGGACGAATCGAAATTGTGGGCGCAACGGTCGACTAGCAACACCTTAAATAAATGCCCAACAACTCCTTGTTCTAGCTGAAAACTGCAGCTACAAGCACAAGTAACTTTACGCAGAAGCAAGGGTAAAGCGCCGTGAGGCTAGCGATATTCGTATGAGAGTGCTCAGACGAGCAAAGACAGAAATTATAACAACGGATAGAAGTGTCACAGCAACTGCCGTGTTCACAACATCGTTAAGACGTTATGCAGAAGGAGAACACAGAAATAGTAGTGCTTCGGGCTTGTATGCGCGATACCTGATTTGCTGTAGTTCCGAAGTTCCCCTTTTCTCCAGGTCACAATACCGCCCACAAGCAGTGCTTGCAAGGAGCGTCAATTACACGGCTTTTTGCTTCGAGCAACGGCAAGTGGGAGTTTCCGAAAATTGAAAATTTGGGCACCTTATTTTGGGATCCTTTTTAACCGATCCTACTATTTACGGTACTCCATTGGAGTCCCCTAGTTTCGGGAACTCCCAAGTGTCACCCAAGATGGCTTGCAGTGCAAGCGCGAAGCGACTGACAGCTCGAAAGCTTAGTGCCCTGAAGTCCCAGAGCTCGAACCCCCCCAAACTTAATCCTTTGAAGGCCTTCACAACCCCTAGTACTGGGGAGACCTCTGAAAGGGGACCCTTCGTAGCCCTACTTCTGGCTTCTTTAACAGGTGCCTTATTGAGAGGGTCTACATACCCAAGAGTCCCCCTACAGTAGAAGCCGGAAAGTTGGAATATTATTATCAGAATCCCTTTAAGGTAAATTATAGGGGATCCTGCCATTATTCCATATTCCAACTTTCTGGAGTTCCCCTTAATCCAAGCTCCTAACAACCCCAAGCACCTGAACACGAAACCCTAGACTTCATCATGTCGGAGTTGTGGGTGTAGCGGTTTCATACAGCGGCCTCAACAATTCCCTATACTATGTCTGGGGGCCGTTATCATAGTTATAGTATAATAGGCCCCCAAACCCTATTAAAATTCTTAAGGCCCCTATATTAAAGTACCCTTCTAGATCCCTTACAGTAGGCCTTATATACCCTTAGAAAAGGAGCCCTGTTCTAATTATTAAGGCCCCTATAGTAGAGGGCTCCAGGGCTCCAGGGTCTACGGTGTAGCTTTCGGTTTCCGGTCCCGTCACCCTGAGCCTTAACTGGGTCCGGATGAGCCAGGGTGTAGGTGTAAAGCTGTAAGAGTAGCTGCACCGCATTTCCCGGCAGGTCGCTCAGCAGTGCACAGATCGAAAGCGATCTCCGATGGATGCGTGGAGGACAAGCGTTTTGCTGTAGTGAAAAGGCCGGTGCGCCCTCTTGGTTAGGTAGCGGCTGCCAGTGTCAGCTGCTCCCAGCAGTTTGACACTGGTAGCGGAGCCTGTCTCCCGAAGCCATGGCTTCTGAGAGCGGGGCCGACGTTCCGGTCCCCGGCGAGACCGATCCCTGGCAAACCCAGGACCCATGGGCGAGATGGCGTGCAGAGGCAGCCGAGACGAACAACGATGCATCGACGACACCGACCGATGAGACGACAGCTGAAACGAGCGACGACCACCTCAACGGGAACACTGTGGACAACAGTGGCTGGGAAAACCGCTCTGGACCCGGCGGGGGAACGCCTGGTCCCTACGAGCGACCGAGGTGGTCAGACGCAGCCTGGCGCGAATGGTTACAGGGCACCTGGAAGCCGGAGCTCGGTGGGCAGGTGGATGGCAACACCGGCCCAGAAGGCCGGAGGGCTTCTACGACTTCGGCAGATTCCAATGGGGCTACCGGCGCCACTACGACAAGGCAACCACCGAAGAAGTGGTGGGAAGGCGGGACTGAGTGGAACCGCGAGCAGTGGCATGGCACATCGTGGACCTGGGCGGCGGATCCTGGGGCGGCCAGTACTTCTACCTCGGCCCCGACGAGCACACCGGCTAACCGATTCAGCGCGGCGCCTACGGCATGGACGAGCGCGAGACCTACCGATGGTGGAGGGCGGCCTGCCGGCGGCCCTGAAGGCGGAGGCGGCAAGGGGCCGTCCGAGAAGTTGATCATCCCGTCGTTCAGCGGCGACGGGGAGGGCACGGAGCTTGGAACAAGTGCTCGCAGCTACCTTCGCCAGATCGACGCCTGGGAACGCATGACGAAGCTGGCGCCCAGCCAAAGGGCACTCGTCCTCTACCAGCACCTGGAGGGCGCGGCATGGATCAACGCCGAGGCGCTGAGCATGGAAGCGCTAAGCTCGGCCGACGGCGTGGGTTACCTACGACAGTGGGTTCAGCAGCACTACTTGGACGTGGAGGTGACGTCGGTTGGACGGTCGCTTTCGGATTTGTTCCGAAAGCTGAAGCGGAGGTACAACCAAAGTTTCCGGGACTACACGGCCGAGTTCAACCGTCTGCTGGCGAGGGTCGTGGAGTGCGGGTGCAAGCTGCCGGACGTGGCCACGGCGTGGTTGTACGTGGACAGGGCCAGTCTTGACGAGGCCACCGAAGTGAGCCTCCTCGCGAGCGTCGGGAAGAAGTACCAGTTGCTACAGCTCCAGCAGGCGGCGATCATATTGGACAGGTCCATGCGAAAGCCGTGGGAGAAAAGCGGGAAACCCGACGGCACACGGCGGCCGCCAACCGTGCACCACACCGAGGATGCCGAGAACAATGACGAGCCGGAGTCCGACGAGGAGCCGCCGACGGAGGACGTGCAGGGCGAGGACGGGGAAGGCCTTTACATCGCCTATATGACTGCTAAGGCCCGCTACAAGGACACCACGCGGGCCAGAGGGATCGACATTGATGCTGTGAAGAAGACGGCCGAGGAGCGGATCAAGGCGGCAAAGGCGAGGAGCTACTGCTCGGTTTGCCATCAGAAGGGGCACTGGCACCGAGATGCTTGTTGCCCAAAACGGAAAACCGAGGTGCAGACCGTGAATGTTGCCCACGAGCTTGACAGCCTACGCCCGGCCGCCTCTCTGGGACTCCAGGCCATCACCGATTCTGCTTGCTCCAAGTCGGTGGTGGGCACTACGTGGCTACAGGGCTACCTCAACATGGTGAGGAACCAAGGCAAGATCCCCGAGCTGATCTCCGAGCGCGAGGCCTTCCGCTTTGGGGCGAGCCGGGTCTACGAGTCCACGTATGCCACCGTGATCCTGTTCTACCTGGGAAATTCCTGGGTCGCCGTCAAGGCGGCGGTGATTCATGGGGACATTCCCCTTTTGTTCTCGAAGCCCTGCTTGGCGAAGCTCGGGATGGTGATGGACCTTGAGCACAACACGGCTGACTTCCGGAAGCTCGACATCACTGGACTGCAGTTGCTCACGACCCCCACCGGTCACCCTGCCGTAGCTGTGTGCCACAAGGGCAAGAACCTTCCCGATCCGAGCGCCCTGCCAAAGGTTTGGGGGCCGGACGGCACTGAGATCATCGCCGAGGCCGCTCAGGTATACATGACTGTTGTTGCAGGACAGGGTCAGGGAGAAGGGCTAGGGTCGGGAGTACATCAGATCTTCTACGAGAAGAAGGTAGATGAGGCTGCTAGGGCAATGCTCATCGGTGACCATCTTTGCCATGCGACTTTTCTTCAGTGGTGGAGTAGCTGCCCGATCTCAAACGACTTCTGGATTGAGACCCCCGACAAGCTAGTCCGAGTTCACGTCACCCCAAGGAAGCACTACTTTGACCCCGATAAGTGGAAGACCCAAAGTACTTTGCAGCGTGATCTACTACAACAGGCCCTTGGAAGCATTCGCGAAACATGGGGTATTGCATGCAGCAGTCAACGTCCGCTTAGCACCGTTTGTCACTTGTGGAGAGACACGCAATCCGAGAGCGACTGCGGCAGCTACCCAACTCTATGGATCGGCCGCAGTGTCTTCAATCGAGACCGACCCAACGGCCTGTCCCTTCGCACACCTCGTGATGAGCAACGGCAAGGCGACATGGACCATGAACAAGACGCAGCTGTTGGCCGAGTGCAGTCAAAGGAGCCTGGCAGTGGACCCGAAGTGGACGGTGACCGAGTTGCGCCACGTTCTGGCCGGGGACACCAAGCACTACCACTACCGCGAGCCGCCGTCGGGGGTGCCGAAGAGCATCTCGAAGATGACCCGCGAGGAGCTGGTGCTGGAGGCGGAGAAGCTGGGCATCGAAGTGGGAAGCAAGGACCCGAAGGGTGCCATCATGATGCGGATCAGAGACCATGCGGCGCCGGACACCACGATGATGACGATCGGCCGCTTCCGCGGCGAGTCCTTCGTGAATATCCCGGACAGCTACGGGGACTGGGCGTCGGAGGAGGAACGGATCAACGGCGACAACATGCATCCGGAGATGAAGCGATATGTTACATGGCGTCGCAACCACAAGGCGAAGAAGACCTCCGCGGGGTACACCAACAAGAACAAGGCCCGGAGCTACCTCGACGTGGAAGCGAGCGCACTCATTCCCCCGCCGCCGATCAGCGAGACCGGGGCATCATCTTCGGCAATGTGGGACGTGGTGGAAGGGATGAGCGTACCGCCAGCAACCGCCGCCAAGGCGGCGCCGAGACCGATGAGGAGGCCACTCGAGGACGACAAGAACGCCCAAAGGATGGAAAGGGATGTGGAACCACATATGCTCGAGGAGATCCGCAATCTGGAGGCCAGGCTTGCATGCCTCCGCGACGCGGCCGGCATGAGCCCCGGCCCAGGGCAGTGAACTACACCGAGAAGGAAACGATCATCCCAGAGAACGACAAGGACTTCTACCCCGAGAACCCGGTCCACGACACCATGGAGGCAGAGGATGGCCCCCGCGAGACGGGGCCCGACTTCGCTGTAGAGGAGACGATCATCCCAGAGAACAACGAGGACTTCTACCCCGAGAACCTGGTCCCTGGTGTTAGCAACGAAGCCAACAGTCAAGAATACGAGTCGTGCGAGTCATCTCAGTCAGCTGTGGCACAGGAGGCCCTCTATACCAAAAACGATGCACAGGAAGGCCTCGACACCGAGTTCGGCTTCAAGAACGACGTCACCGGCGGCGAGGAGTTGGCGAGGCGAGCACTACGAGAGGAGCGCTTTGGGAATGAAGACCTCGAGGAGATTCTGGACGCTTGCGGGTTCGGTCACAAGCGAGACCGGCCCGGTGTGCACACCCAAGGCGTGGAGGAGCGATGTGTCCTGGGCTACTACGCGTTCGGGAAGTTCCATGGCGTCACCAAGCGCAGCGGGGGTTGGAGTTATCTCACGAGGTACATCAACCGATTCCTACAAGTTCGGTGCGGAACTACGAGCTCTACGTGGACGTCCCTGTCAATCTGCTTGAACGCCCCGGCCGGAATCCACACCGACCGGAACAACCTACCGGGAAGCTTCAACGTGATGTGGACTGGCGGTGAACACCGAGGCGGAGGACTCTGGATCGCGGACAAGGCGGGCACCGAGACCAGGCGCGATGCCAACGGGGAGTACGTGACGGGCAAGGTCATCGAGACGAAGGGGAGGATCACCTCCTTTGACCCGAAGTGCAAGCATGCCAGCGAACCCTGGGCGGGCCGCCGTTGGAGCGTCGTAGGCTACGTGGCCCGGAGCTTTCCCTACGCGTCCAAGGTTTTCAAGCGTGTGCTCTCAAAGCTCGACTTCCCGGTCCCCACGGCTCCCGAATGCCAGCAACCACCAACGAGAGAGCGTTTCGAGGAGACCGAGAAGGAGCGTCCAACGAGGACTCTGGAAGAGTGCGGCTGCAATTTCGATGATGATGACCACCGCACTGGCCACGATGACTTCGTTCGCGATGGAGTACACGGAGCCTCGGGCCAAACCACAGGTCGCTATTCTTGAGGTTGGCGATGTGACCGCCACCTGCTACGCGGCCGGGATCTGCCCAGAGGGCGTGGGCGTTGCTGATCCCCTCCTGTACACCGACCTGGACTATGTCGACAAGCTCGTCGAGTGCAACTTCGGGCCGATCGAAGTGAGCACGATCAAGCACGAGCCCGGGGAACTTTGGCTACACGTCACGAGGGACTGGTTGGCCGCAGACATCAAAGAAGATGCCGAACAGGCAATGGACCGACAACTCCGTGACGGTCGCAGCGTGGTCCTACAAAGGGGTGCCAGCGATATCGGCCTTTGGGAAGATGCTACGTCCGGCTGGGAGGACGCCGGGTACGTGGTCGACTACGACATCGACCACAACGGCAACGAGCCCTACGTGATCTACGCCGCCGACGCCGTTGGAGGAGAGGACAAGGCCGCGCCGGACCGGGACGGAGCACGAAGCATCCGTTTTCCACCGAGCGTGCCGAAGCACATAGCCGCCAGCCTTCGACGACTACACCAGAACCTGGGACACCCAAGCACTACGGACTTCACCCGTCACCTACGTTTGGCAGGAGCAGGTCGAGACGTACTCAAAGCTGCACGCTCGCTGGAATGCCAAACTTGTGCTCGAACGAAGGCTACAGCCATCGCCAAGCCGGCGAAGATCGGGAGTTGCCTGCGATTCAACGAGGTGGTCGGTGTGGACCTCTTCTACGTTCACGATGTGGAGGACAACCGGCACGAGCTGCTCTCGATCGTCGACTACTCCTCGGCCTACCAAGTCGTGATCCCCGTCGCCCGGAAGGACACGCCACACCTTGAGCGAGCGTTTTGCGAAGGATGGGCCAATATATTTGGGGCTCCGGAAGTTGTGACGGTGGACCTGGAGAACGGCCTGCAGAAGGCGCTCGCCAAAGTCGGCGATTGGACCGGCATGCGGATTAAATCTGCAGCCGGACAGGCCCATTGGCAGGCCGGTTTTGTGGAGCGGCACGGTGGGATCTGGAAATCAATGTTCAATCGGGTGAACGAGGAGAAGTCCGTCGTCAAGGGCGAGATCCACCTGGCCACGACGGCGGTGTCCAACGCGAAGAACAACCTCACCCGATCCGGAGGCTACAGTCCACAGCAGCACGTGTTCGGGACGACGCCCAGGATACCAGAAGATCTACTAGAGGGACCACATGCCCGTGGAGCCGACGACGGTCCCGTCATCGACGAGAAGCACGCCCGGGAGGTCGCCATCCGGACGAGCGCCCGCATCGCCTACCACCACGTGCAGACCGACGAGAGGGTGAGGAGAGCGCTAGCCGGAAGGGCCCGAGTCCAGGTCCGCCGACCCGCGACAGGAGAGCAGGTCTACCACTTCCGGAAGACCAAGAATGCTAAGCGCGGCATGTGGGTTGGACCCGGCACCGTGATCGGCGAGGAGGGCACTAACATATGGGTGTCAAAGGGCGGGCGATGCGTACTGTGCGCAGAAGAACACGTGAGACTCGCGACACCGGAGGAGCTGGGCCAGGCGTTCAGCCTACGTGTTGCCCGGGAAGATCTCGAACGGCTACTTGGAGGCGACCCAGAGGACGAGGAGATGTACGGGGACGACGAGGGCGACGCCGCGGAGGACGGCGGAGCGGACCTACCGAGCGACCTCGACGATATCCTCGACGAGATGAGCTGGCCCGACGAGGTCGCCTACGACATGGATGTTGAGGACGGCGAAGGCAGAGGAGTGAGGCGAGGTCTTGAGGGGCCACCCCCTCCTGTGTTTCGGCGGAAAAGACAGAAGGGCCCGCCAAGCTCACCGGGGGCGCCCTCAGCACCCCAATCCGTCCACATGCTCAAGAAGGCGAAGACCGAACGCTCTAAGGCGAAACAACTCGAGAAGGAGATCCCGCGGTCCCAGATTCCCGACGAGGTCCGGCCCCTGTTCATCGAGGCAGAGCGCAAACAGTGGAACGAGCACCTAGAGCACAAGGCCCTGGAGATCATGGACGTCCAGAGCAGCTTGAGGACCCGAGCCGAGGTCCCGAAGGAGCGTATACTACTGTCGAGGTACGCATACCGCGACAAAGCCATGGGCAAACGAAAAGCATGCCCGGAGACACCATGGCGCGCCAAGGCACGACTGGTTGTAGGAGGGCATCTCGACCCAGACCTTGGCGGTGGCCTCACGACAGACAGCCCCACCATCAACCGGTCTTCACTGATCGTGCTGCTTCAGTTGGCGGCGTCTCTACGATGGGAGCTGTCCGCCGGCGACATCCAGGCGGCGTTCCTGAACGGCCTGGAGATACAGCGGGAGTTGTTCATGGAGCAACCACGAGGCGGGGTCGAGGGACTCGACCCAAGGCAACTACCACGGATCCGGAAGGGGATATTCGGACTCGTCGAATCGCCTCGGATGTGGTACGATCGCTTGGATCAGGTGCTCACAGAGGAGATCTTCGTCATCGACGGCGTTCACCACCGACTACGTCCTTGCCCACTCGACCCGTGCGTGTACCTGCTGCAAGCCGAAGGCGAGCTCCGACCGCGGGCCTACATCGGGATCCACGTGGACGACCTGATCATCCTGGCACCCCGCGAAGTACGACTGGCACTGCAAGAGAAGATCAGTGCCCTCTTCCCAGTCGACAGCTGGGAAAGCGAGGAGTTCGACTACATCGGCTCGAGGATCACCGTTAAGGACGGCACCGTGGTGGTGAACCAAGCGGCTTTCGTGGAGGGGCGACTCTTCACCATAGAGGTCCCTAAGAACCAAGAGGGGGACCAGCCGGCCGCCGAGGAACAGATGATCGACAACAAGTCCCTAATAGGAGCACTATCATGGTTGGCGAGCCAGTCCAGGCCCGACTTGTTATGTCCGGTCGCTCTTGCACAGCAACTCCAGAGGGCGCCGACCACCGACGACGTCCGCTTCACCAACACCACTGCCCTCCGCGCGGAGGCCCATAAGGACAAAGGCCTCACGCTGCACCCCATCGACCTGAGCAGGGCAGTCATCGTGGTTTACCACGATGCCGCGTGGGCCAACGCCGAGCATGAGGAGGCCGAACCTGGGTTCGAGCTCACTGCGGAGGAGATCCAGAGTGGGAACATCGGCGCAGGCCTCTACAGCGATAAGAGACCTCGACTACCGAAGCGGGCGAGATCGAAACTGGCGTCCCAGCTCGGTCACCTGGTGTGCTTCTGCGACCGCGACATCGCCAACGGAGCACGGGTCCCCGTTGGGATTCTGGAGTGGCGGAGCAACGCCTCGAAGAGGGTGTGCCGGAGCACATTCGGCGCCGAGACAATGTCGGCAGTGGAGGCGCTAGAGGCAGCACAGTACCTACGAGCCCTCATGGCCACTTTGGTGAGCGGCCGCCTGGTGAAACACGAACAGGCTGCTGAGTTCTGCCCGATCCTGGCGCCCGCCGACTGCAAGTCCCTTCACGACTTTCTCCACCGAGCCGGACAGCCGAGACTCCCCTCCGACCGTCGGTTAGCCATCGACCTGGCAGCCTTACGTCAGGACCTACGTGCCGAAGTTCCAGCCGGAGTCTCACGACAGAAAGGAATACCCTTCAGGTGGATCCCCACCACTCTGCAGATGGCCGACGTGCTCACCAAGCCCCGTCGGGGCGACGAGTGGTGGTCAATGCTTGACGAGGGGATACAGCTTCCTTTCGCTGACGGAACCTTGAACCTCCGAAAGAGAGGTGAGGATTTTAAACCAGTGTAAAGCTGTAAGAGTAGCTGCACCGCATTTCCCGGCAGGTCGCTCAGCAGTGCACAGATCGAAAGCGATCTCCGATGGATGCGTGGGGGCACAAGCGTTTTGCTGTAGTGAAAAGGCCGGTGCGCCCTCTTGGTTAGGTAGCGGCTGCCAGTGTCAGCTGCTCCCAGCAGTTTGACAGTAGGGTTTCAGATTTCGGACTTAGGGTTTAGGATTTAGGGTATAGGATTTAGGGTTTAGGATTTAGGGTTTAGGATTTAGGGTATAGGATTTAGGGTTTAGGATTTTAGGGTTTAGGATTTAGGGTTTAGGATTTAGGGTTTAGGATTTAGGGTTTAGGATTTAGGGTGTAGATTTTAGGGTTTTATGATTTAGGGTTTAGGGCGTCCCGCAAGCTGTCAGCAGCGGCCTAGACCCACAGCGGTCCACATGGTCGGCTGGAACTGTTGTCGGCAACAGATTTGTATCAGCTTTCCTCCAGACTTCAAGGATCCTGGGTGTCCTACTGCAAGAACTTCAACTAAAGAAGAGACAGCCCCGTATACAGTAACCCCCAACTTCAAGCACCATGTCCCCATGTCCTCAATCAATCTCAGACAATGCCTTCAGGACCATAAGAGGCCCTGGCCCCCTTTTGCAGAGCATGCGGCACCCTTGGTTGAAGTCTGGGGGCACATTTTTCCAGCCGCATGAACCCTGTGCACCGTTTTGCGAAGTTCCAGGGTCGTACTCCGATCCTCCAAATTTAGCTTGGGAGTCGTGATGTAAGTGACAAGACTACGGTAGTGACACTTGCAGAAATGGTGAGGGTTTCCGTCATCAGTTTCATGACAATGATGACGAAGATGAAAAAGCAGATTATGTTGATCATAAATCACAATCATCACCATCTTCTGCTGCCATAGGCATTGTCACGCATCATCATCTGCATTATTATCATCATACCTTTGTCATCATCTTTAAAAAATTGTGGTCATCTGCGATGTTAGCTTACAGAGTCGCATCAGCTTCGCAGAAACGGGCAAAGTCCCCTCCGCGGGGGGACGGGGTGATGCGTCTGACCTCGCTGATGAACTTCCCGTAGCTGTCGTCACGAGCATTGTTTTCACGGACGGCTGGAGCTCTGCGTACTTCCGGTCGCTGCAGGGCAGCCCATGTCAAGTGCAAGAGTCCCAGAGCCCTTGGTTCTCAGTCATCGGCGCCTCCAAATCAATCCTGGAGCCTTCTGCTGCTCCCTCCTGATCTTCATTTGGGAGTTTCCGAGAATAATAAGGGATCCTAATATGGTACCCTAAATAGTAGGACCCTTATTATAAGGACCCCAAAATTAGGTACCGTTCGGGAGTATCAGTTGGCTTTGGGTTGGAGGCCGCTTTTGGGGACTGTGGGTAGAGGGTTGTACTGCTTGCCTGCAGCGGCAAATTTCTTCGCGGCTTTGGATACAAGTGTGGGATTGCATCCTGTGTGCTCCACTTTGTAGCATGGCCGCCCCAAGCCCCATAATTTTTTCCTTCCGCTACACAAAGCTGGAGAAGTATCTAAGTTTAGCAGTGATGAACGTAGTATATGAAGGCCCCTATAGTATCGTACCTTTATAGATCCCTTATAGTGACCCCTTGACAGAAACCCTATTCTAACTATGAAGCCTGAGAAGATGGGACGGTTGCGGAGCTCCTCAGCCCGGAGCGACGGAAGTCTGGTTTTGGGTTTAAAGGGAACTCCAGAAAGTTGGAGAATATGGTTTCAGGGTAGGATCCCCGATAATTTACCATAAAGGGTCGAGGATGATCATATTCCAACTTTCTGGCTTTTACTTTAGGGTTTACGGTCTGAGTTAAACACCTAAACCTCCAAGGCCAAATCCTAAGCCAGTCTGAGGACTGCTCGAATGATCCCCTAAACGCTACACCCTGATTTAAACCCCTAACCTGTGAAGCCTTCAATCCTTATAAACCCCTAGACCCTATAAACAACTGACAGAAGCCAAAAATCCTAGCTTCTCGCTGGATTCGGGCTTATGCCAGCGTGCCAAGGCAAGAATGCCACGCTTGACTTCACCCAAGCTGACACTTCGTCTCAATGTGCCACCCGTCCTGCCATGCCCTCGTTACGATGAGATGCGTAGTGCCGATAGTGAGGTGACAGCTTTCAGCAATCGGAGCATGTGATGCGGCTCGCCGCGGTGTTCTTGGCAGCAGCAGCAGCAGCAGCAGCAGCAGCAGCAGCAGCATCATCGGCTTTCGAGACAGACATGTGCTGAGACTTTGGGTTGTGGCTTTCCTTGGTGCATCACTGTCTTGCAGCGTGCTCATGAAGCTAGTGCAGCCTTATTCCTACAAGTTGCTTACAGACCCCTGATGTGTAAACCCGTCTCCTGCATAAACGAGCAAAAGCCGGCATGAGTTAGGAGGGAGGGTTGGGGTTTAGGGTTTACAATCACACAGCGAGGATCTGCTAAGGCCTTCAAAGCTCGTTGGCCTTATGCAGCTGGAGCTCATTTTCTTGTGAGTTCATCTCGAGGGCAGGCTGCGTCGCGCGGCAACACTATTCCAACGGCTTGCATAATCGAGCCAAGCCCCTGCTTAAAGGATCATGGTGGGACTTAGTATCTAGGGTTATAATTAAGGTAACCGGTAACTATACTTATACCTACTTATAACCCCAATCAACGTACTTATAACCTTGCTTACTAAGTCCCATGCTCCTCCAAGTGCACCTGATGGATCATGAAAAGTCAGTGTCTCCTTCGTCCTCGGCCCCGAGCCTTCATTTAAACCTCCAAAGGACAGTAGTGCTGGTGGCATAAATTGCAGTGGCAATACGGGCAATATAGGTAAGAAGCATGTAAGCAGTCATGGTAGTCTTCTACATTACGGGTTGGGATGGTAGCCGGCAGAATCCTGACCAAATTTCGGACAATTTTCATGTTCGCCCAGCGCAGCGTTTTGTTATATCTGACGGACCATACGCCTGAGACCATGGAGCAATTCATGAAGCTCGGCTGCACAAGGACCTTTGAGGGCTTTATTCGTCTTTATGATCGTGTTACAGTGTTGCATGGCCTCACGTGGGTGTTAGAGGGTTCCCTAAACCCTAAAGCTAAACCCCTAAACCCTAAACCGGTTGCATACGTGTCTCATGGTGTTCGGTTCACGGTCTTACAGAGGGGTTTTTGGGTTCGGGGCTTTAGGACGAAGGGTTTTGGGGCTCGATCTCCCCAAAACCAGGTGTTAGCCTTCGGGTTTAGGGTGTCGGGGGTTACGCTGAGCCCATGGACTGCAAGCCCTTGATAGCCCTGAGGTAGAAGCTTGAGGCCTTATCAAGGCTGTTCCGATACCCCAAAAGCCCTCAATCCTACACCCTAAACCCTACACCTCATTTTTTACAACGACCCCAACGAGTTTGAAGTTCACTCAAGTTGGGGCGCCTTCCTTTCCCCGGCGCCTGTTAGAGACTTTTCCGCACAGGCGTTTCGGGTTTTGGATTTTGGCAAATAAGCTACCTTTTCAGGGTTCCCTAATATGATTTCCTTAGTCCATAAAAAGGTAGGTCATTGCGGGGAAAAAGGTAGGGTTTGGGGAGATTAGGTTGAGGGATTATGGTTGTCGGCTCTGGCTTAGGCTCCTTTAGTTATGTCGTATTATGGCATAGTATATGTTGCTTGTAGTATGTAGTATGTTGTACATTTCACCTTATTTAATGATATGTAATTATGTTACATTATGTTATTATGGTATAGCAATTATGGTATACTATAGCATAGGATATGATATCATCTGGAAGGAAATCGGAGGGGCCTCCTGTGCCTTGGGTTTTCCTCGGTTGTGTCATCACTTCTCCAGTCTTCTCGTGCGAACTTCTACACCTTCGAACGCGGTTTAGGGTTCAGGGTCTAGGATTTGGCGTTTAGGGTTTAGGGCAAAGGGCAGCGCAGCCGAGGTACCGCAACACTTTCATCCACATTTCGGCGCAGGTGGCACTGCAGGGCTGCAGCCTCTGTTTCTGCTTTCATTAAACCCTAAACCCTAAACCCTAAACCCTAAGCCCCGAACCCTAAACCCTAAACTCTAAATTCCCACCCAGGCCTGCTTAGGCCGTACCCACCCTTTTTCTTGGTGTGCCTGGACCCAGAAGGAAATCCAGTGATTGACACCAACTCTGGATGGACAACGGGGTGGAGCCATTGGAGAGTGGTCGAATTCAGCCCCCAGGACCGAGCCAAGCCATCAGGCCCCTTGCATGGCGCCCATATTCGCAGAGAGGGAATTCCCTCGAATCTCAAGAGATTAGAATACCCAAAACCCGACGACCAAATCCCTTGGTGGTCGTTTCCATTTGGCTCCCTTCAGAGAAGGGCCCAGAGGGGCCCAGCGGGGCACCCCAGCTGGCAGATGCTCCTGGCGAGTCCTAGGGGGAGCCCTGTCCCCTGGCCGACCAGGGGCAGGTGGGAATTGAGCCCCAAACCCTAAAAGGCAATATTTTGGGTGGTAGCTTGTGTACTCTCACAGCGGGTGGGAAAAGGTTCGGAACCAATGTGTAATTGTTTGGTGGTGGAATCGCATTCGAACGCTAGACGTAGATATGCCGCCCCGCCACACCCCTGGGAGTGTTGGGGTGCCATCCTACATAGAAAATACTGCCGCTGCGCGGCGAGACACCGTAAACCCTAAACCCTAAACCCTACTCTGCCGGCTTGGTCTCCCGAAGGCCGAATCTCCAAGCACAGTAAGTTGCCGGGTTTAGGAGGGTTAGGGCTTCCGATGTAGGAGTTCAGGTGTGTCAGGGTGACCCTCAACGCAGAACTTCTGACTAACTCTGAAGCCTGCTACTAGTATCCAAAATATCCCAGAAAATGCCATCAAATCCTGACACTTGAAACCTTGAGTTTTTGTCGAAAGGCTCAAAGCTTGTAGCCTTAAGTTGAAGCGTTGAAGCCGAACTCCTCTCTTTCCAAAATCTCCGGTGCCCTTCCCTTCCGAGAATGTCTGGCATCCTTGACAAGGGCGATTGTTGATAGAGGAATTTTGGAGTCTGTGGGAACGCTGGCCATGCTGGCCTAGACCGCCAAGTTAAGGCCCCATAGCAAGCGCTTTAGTGACACAGCCCTACACCCTGTAGGCTGTGTTGTGTTTTTGGGTTTTGAGGGTTGCCTTAGGGTACTTTTAATTTTTGGTTATTTTAATCCCTAAGAAACAGCTAAAGTTATAATTTTTGCTAGGGTTCTAAGTTCAGTATAGTTGCCCTTGCGAGATCATCCGGAGCTGCAGAGGAGAGCCAACTTCCTCGATCGCAAAGTGCGCCGAACCTTTCATTGCCAAGCCGTCGGGAGGAGGACCAGTCAAAGAGGGATAGCAAGTTAGGGGTGGGCCCTAAACCCTAAACCCTACGCCCTAAACCCTAAACCTCAAACCGCGTCCCATCGCCTTCGAAGTTTAGGGTTCTAGGGTCCTGTGGTGTGGGGGGGGGGCTTCTGAGCTTCCTTTCCCTGTGCGTCGACTTGGAGCACCAGCAGCCCCGGCGGTTGTTGGTAGGTCTTTCTGGGTTTTCCTTTCAAGCGGTTGACCCTGAACCCTAAACTCAAGCCCTCAAACCTAGACCCTGAACCCTAAACCCTTCCTCTTCGGACCTCCGGGCTTGGAGAAAAGGAGCTAAAAAAAAAGAACCCTAAACCCTTGCCAGAGGCTTTCAGGTGCTCCTTCCCGAAGCTTCCCACAACTAGGATGTCGTGTGCCATGCAGGCCCGCAGCTGCATAAGGGACCCCCTTTAAAGTAGGGACCCCCAAAAGGGCTTATAGGGTTTAGGGTTTAGGGTTTATAGGGTTTAGGGTTTATAGGGCACCTAAAGCACATAAGCATAAGCATCTTATGGGGATATCCCTACCTTATTGAAGGGGGTTTAGATGGGATATCACTATCCTTCTTTTTGCTTATGTGCTTTTTTTGGGCCCTTTAAAGTATCCCACAGCTCACTCCGACCTTTCGCCATTCGGCATTCCAGGGTCTATGGATATATCCCTCAAATCGAGAGGCTTCGCAGCGTGAGGGTTCCGGGGTTCAAGGAGTCGAGGGCTTCGGTTTGCCCGCACGTGAAGGCCACAGTCACAAAGCCAAACAGACCTTGCCGCAGCACCGCTAAACCCGAAGCCCCAAGAGCCCCACTCGCATCTCTCTCAACAAAACTGTAGTTGCCGTCAGTCGGAAACTTAGGGAGGCATTTAAGTTTCCTTGAAGACCTGAAACAGAAAGGAGGCTGAGTCGTATTTGCACAACTTCCTCGAGCGCGTGGCCGAAAACTTCCGATGGACAGAGAGGTGCGCACCGAATCTGGGGCCACAGTGGAGTAAGGGATTTCGGTTATGACTGAAACGAGCCGCCTCATGATGCCAGGGGATGCAAATTAGCTGCTTTCTTTTTTTTGTTTTTTTTTTTTGGGGGGGGGGTGTTGTCGCATGTTTTGGCAGGGTTGCGGCCTGTCGTTTACAGGTAGCAGACCCAGTGTAAAGGCCTAAGCAAGTTTATACTGTGCAGTACAATGTTATGTCGCTCTGCATGCGTGGTGCTTGCTCGTGGTTGGTTTCCGGTCACAGTGGCACATCGTTTTTCGTGGTGAAACTTTGGACACTAGCATGTTCATGTGTTCCAGGATCCGTGGTGCTGTCGGTGACAATATTGCCAGCCTTCGGCACACAAGCAGAACCAGGATGAAACAGGAGGTTGTTACACTGTGCGTCGTCGTCGTCCTCCTCGCCGCCACCCTGCTGGAATGTCGAGCACCTAGCAAAAATCCTGCCGGGGAGCCGAAGATTGACCGAAAAGTCGGAGCATTGGCTCCGCAAGGCAGCAATCACTTGCTTCGAGTTTGCTGAAACTTGCCTGGAGCCGGGAGCCTGGATTTAGCTCCGGGAATCGAAGAGAAGGCAGTTTCCACTGGCGACGCAAGTTGAAAGAAGCATAGGTAATAGAATCAAGCCAATAACATAGGCGCCGAAATAATTACAATACCATGTTTGGGGGTTCCTTACTGTAGTTATAGCATAATATACCCCAAAAGCCCTATTCTAATTACTAGGTCCCGATAGTAAGGAAACCGATCACCCCACGGAGCCTTCTTCACAGGGAGTCGACTTGGATGCCACGCTGCGCTCGCGTTGTTTGACCAGGTAGGCGAGCACCAAGCGGAGGGCAAAACCAAGAATTGCCTTTGTTAATAAGAACATCGACTTTCAGAAAGGGAGTTAACCTGGATGCCACGTGGCGCTTGCGAGTCGTAAATCCTGATATTTCCTGCTTGGAGGTTCATGGGCAGGTATAAGTAGGGTTATAAGTCCCCTAATATGAGTTATAAGTATAGTTACCCTACTTAGAGCCCTACTTACAACTGCCCACGAGCCTCCAAGTAAGGCTAAGCTGCCAGGCCACCACCGCCGAGAGTCCCTGGCAGCTTTGCCCACCCAGAGGCTGCAAGCTTGGGGGCTTTTTGAAGGCGGAGGCGAGGGTTCCAAGGTAACGGCTGGGGCTTACAATATAGGGGCCTTAATGATCAGAATAAGGTTTTGGGGCCCATTCTACTATAATCATAATAGTAAGGAGCCCCCCAACAGAGTATAGGTAATTCTTCTGGCCCCTACAGTATGTGCTTCCAGAGGTGCAAGGTTCTGGAGAGTCGCCGGGTTCCATGAGCCATGTCTTTCCACTTTGTGTCGAGTACTTCCCCAAATCATAATAGTTATGACTTAATATAGAAACCCTGCATTTTACTATATTGGTACTTTGGACCCTGTGAGCTCCGATGGTCTTCGTTGCTTGCGATTGTGTTGGGCTGGTGCAGAGCTGCCTGGAACATCCTGCAGATGGAGGAACTTACCTTTGGTTAGGGTTTAGGGTTTTAGGGTTTTAGAGTTTAGGGTTTTGGGTTTAGGGTAGTAGGGCATGGAGGAATGGGGTACAATACCATTCTTCCATTCCCTACTAACCAAAGGTAAGGGAACGGCGCGGCTTTCCCACTTCGGCTTTTCACGATTGACCCCAGAACCCCTTCCTGCGAGCCAAGCAGATTGGGTGGCTTCTTGTGCAAAGCGAAGCCATGACCAATAGGTCGTCACTTGTTGGAGCATCGTAAATCAACTGCATTTGGGTTCGCCCGAAGGCAGAAGGAACGCATTCCAAAGCCATGGCCTCACGAAGAAGGTCAGCCAAGACCGTCAGTTCACTCTGCAGAGCACCTGGCCTTAGGTGCACCAGTTCAAGCAGTCGAATACCCCACTGCTACATTATAGATCCCATGATTAGTAGTATCACTTCTTAGGGTTCCTCAGAACATTAGTAGTTTAGCATACATGCAGATTCTTGTCTACGTACTAAGTCCGCGTAATACTTGGGCTGACTTGCTCTTTTCATCAGGCCGGGTTTTGAATGAGGCTCCGCTGCCGTGTCGCTCCGGAAAGCCTTTCCTTTGATTTGCCTTATTGTGTTGTATGCACCCTAAACCCGTCAACCCCATCTACCATTCGAAAATAGTTGTGATTGCCTTGCTGCGTAGTATAGAAGCGGATCTATACTTAATTTGAGGGCTGTGGAAGCCCTAAACCTTAAAACCCAAACCATAGCTTTGCTCATCCTTCATGTTGCCGGACCCACACGATGAGCTTCTCTGTCGTATCGCCGATACTTCAGAAAGCTCAGGGACTGGGGGTTAGGTTTCAGGTTAAGGCTTCAGGGAGTAGGGCTTAGGATGCGGCGTAGGATTTAACAGGAGTCTCCTTGGGACCTGAGGCGGATTCATAAAAGCTCTCGCACGCTGCGTAATACATTGGATTTCCAGCATGCCTCCCGCGAAATTTGAAGTATCATAACCAATGAAAGCAAGCAAAGTCCCTGTCAGAAGCAATTATTTGACGCCCTTCAGATACTTCAGAGGATTCTGGTTCTGGATTTGTTTCGAACTCTTGTTTTTCGCATCTCATGTTTTCAAGGGTGAGTGTCGGCAGTGCCACTGGGGCTACGGGGCTTAGAACTTGCTGATGTAAAGCAATGTAAAGCTCGTAAAGTGTCTAATGTTTCCACCTCGATTGCGCCCGCATGGGCACACTGTGCAGGCATGCAGCAGACCTTGTGTCCTTTTTCGGTTTGGAAACTGCACACAAGGCAACCCAGCAAAATTTAGTTGTTCAGACAGAGAGAGAAGGCTTCGCATTGGCTGGTAAAGGAGTTAGATTTCAGTGTCCCTAAACTCTAAACCCTAAACCCGAAGCCCATACCACTATGGGCTATTAGACCTTATGGGTACCTTAATCTACCCTTAATAGCGTCCTAATAGGGATCTTTAGGGTCTAATAGCCCATAGTGGTATGAGGGCTCGAAGAGTTTTTTGGTGGGCTGCACAGACCGTACGGTTTGGAAGCACTTCTGGAATCCCAGATCTTGAAGTTCGGCTTCGGGTCTAGGGGTCTTAATTAGAATAGGGATTTGGGGCCCATTATACTATAATCAAAATAAGGAACTAATTAGAATAGGGTCTTGGGGCCTAATCTACTACAACTATAATAAGGAACCCCCAAAATAGTTAGCATAGTTATAATTATTCAGGCCTTCGCCTTCCCCTTATGGAACATAGCGGGCAGGGAGCCTGGGTCCCAGGCTCCCACAACTGAGATTAGCTCTGGAAGGGGATTTGGGGTTCCGGGTTCGCCTGAGGTGCATCTGAAACTGCCTTCTTGTTAAAGACCTGACTTGAAGTCACCGAAAGCGGGGTCTATGTTAAATAGTATGGTTTCCTAAGACTTAAACATGGTGACTTAATACAGGTTCCCTAACAAGTGCCCCGCAAAGCCCTCGGTTTAGGGTTTAGGGACCGTCAGAGGGTAGTGAGACTCACTCCAGAAAAGGAGCGCCTGTGACTCCTTGGTGCTTAGCAGAGAATGGGGGAATGGATGTCTATAGTACGGTTGATGATATAAATCCTGCATTACCTTAAGGACTCTAAACTATGGGAGTTATGGTATATTCCTTATTATGAGTATTGCAGGATTTATATCATCAACCGCAGTCCCTATATCGTCCCCAACAATGGTCCCCTTAACCCATTCCCCATCCCTACTAGGAACCAGACAGTTTAGGGTTGTGGGTTTCGGGTTGAGGGTGTCGGCTCCAGCAGGACAAGACGGAATGTACCCCTGAAACCTTAATCCCTGAACCCATCGAGCGTAAACCCCTCACACCAAAGGGGCCACGAAAGTACCCGTTCCAAGGAAGCCACGACGGAGCCCTAGCCCTTAAACCCAAGACACTAAACCTCGAAATCCTAGATCGTAAAACCCTAAGAAGCCCAGAATCCCAAACTCGAAGTCCCAAGCCCCACACTCCAAGCCCTAAAACCTCAAGCCAGAACTTTGAGCCTTAAACCCCAACCTGCCAAGCATGGGCTCTCCAGGCGAGGCATTTGCAAGCTGGAACATGTGCTCAACGAACCCTAAATCCGCAACTCCGAACCCTGAACCCGATCTAAGCTCTAAAGCTAGCCCCCCGCACACCAACAGCTCCAAAATCAGAGCTCCACACCCCTGATCTCCAAACCCAGAGCCCTAATTGCAGAAAAAGCTGTAAAGGAACCCTACATGATACCTTGAAGGAGCCCCATCTCAACGGAACCCTTAAGGGCACCGTAGGCCGTAGATGAAGCGTTCAGGGAGCCGTGAGAGAAAGTGCCAAAGGAATCCCTAAAGGAGTCCTTCCAGGATCACTGAACGGAGCCCCGAAAGGAAGCTTATTAGCAACCCTTATGGTCCAAGCAAACAAGGGGCCTGAAGAATTGTCAACAGTCTTCCTTAAAGCTTCTGACAAGTTCTGCCACTTTAGTGAAGGAGTTCCGCCCAATCCTGCAGAGCCTAAATCTGTCGCGCACATCCCAATCGAAGATCCAAAACCCGAGCCTAAATCCAAATCCCCAAGACCCAAAGCCAGAAACCCAAATCTCCAAGACCCTAAACCCCAAACCCAAACTCACTCACTTGCGCCCGCTTAGAGGAGTCCTGCGCGGTCATGCAAACTTACGAATGCCGAAAAGCGGGCCCTAAAATAGTGCCGGCGGGAAACAACGCCTGTACAAGTGAGACAGAAAAGGAGGCAAGCCCGGAGCGAAACACCAGAAGCCAGCGCGCAACGGGAGCCAGCCACAGCCGGCCAGGGAGCAGCGCGAGGCGAACGGCCAGCGGAGCTCAACGGCTCAAAAACAAAGCAAAGCATCATGCTCGTCACACTGCCGCCGAAGCGCGAGCAGCAGTGTGACGAGCATTAGCGGAAACAAATCAGAAAGGAGACATGCGCCTTCGTCAGAGAGGCGAGCGAAGAGGGACGAGGCCTCGCAAAAGCGTGCAGCACCGCCACCACGCCGGCAAAGAGCCACCAGCAGTTGTTGAAAAAAATTGAAGAAATGATGATTGGTCCAGCCTCTGTAAAGAAGAACTTGTTCGAAGCCGTCGATGCCTTCGAAAGTCTCACTGCCAGGCCAGGCCCCAGAAGCGCTCAAGCCGGAGGGCGTGCAAGACCCTTGGCAAAGAGCCCACGAGAAGGTGACCGCTCTGTGCCAGGTTTGTCGGCCAATCAAAAAGCAGCGAAAAACCAAAAGCAGAAGGAGCAGGAAGATACTCCGAGGTTATATACCTGGAACCAGACAGACTGCAGTGCCCTCGAGCAACCGAAATTGCAAGGAGGGGCTGGGGCCTGGAATACTCTGTCAGAGGAAAGTTCGGGCAAACTGAGCTCGAGCTGAGACCCTTGAGCCAATATGGCTACGGAAAAACCACAAACCCTAAATCCAAAATCCCTAAACCTCAAGCTCCTCGTTGCCCCTCGAGCCGAGGTTCCTCCTGCGACTTCTGCCACCTGGAGCACCCAAGGCGCGAAGCGGTGGCTTTGTGAAAGGACTAAGGTTTCCTTCAAGGGCTCAGTTAATGGACCTATTTGGTTTTGCATGATGTATTTCTCAAGGTTTCAAGGTTGTGGGTTCCGTTTTTTGAGCTTAGAAGGTGAAGGTTCAGGTTGTACAGGTAAGCATTCCGTTTTCAGCTTTCGGCTTTAGAGCTGATCCAGCTGTTGCCTGAAGTTGTTTTACTTTTGTTGGTTCGTTCTTGTTGCACCGCCTGTCACTCAGCTGATTGTTCTCATTCGGATTTCGGTTTTGTTCCCATCGTGCATTCCGAACTCTGTGCACCGCTTCGGCATAGAGGTCGGCATGATTGACATCAACTGCATATCCGCGGGGTGTGCACGGGTGCCCTAAATTGAGCAGAGGTGGCTTTTGAAGGGGACACAGAGGTTTTCCAGAGCCATGGCAAAAACAGTTGACTTTTCCATGTGTTTGCTTGGACCAAGCATTCGTGGAAAGGGGTTAGAGAGAAGCAAACTTCTCGGTCGAGAGCATTTAGGAACCAGAGACACACCCCTCGAAAGGGATTAAGATGAAGGAGCAAACCCCTCCGCAAATTACAAGTCAAATCAGAGAGCAAGCCACGCCACACTGACTAGAAAACGCAATGATTACAGAGCAAGCCACAGCGTTTGAGAAAAGGAAATGATGCGTCAGAAGGTACAAAATTAAGAACTGAGAACAAGACCAAAGCGCTCGAAATGGACTTGAGCAGAAACCGACCGAAAGACAGACCACGTGAAACAGAAGGAGCAAACGGCTCGAAAGGGTCTTTAGGCCCATTGAAACAAAATGAGCAGAGTGTCCAGGGCCAGGGCACTTTAGAAACAGGAAGACAGGAAGGAACAGCCGGAAAGGAAAAGGGCATGTGAGAAACAGGAACAAAAGGATCGAAATAGAGAAGTTGAAAAAGGGAGCAACTTTCGCGTAAGGGACTAGGGCGTTCGAGAAAGAAGAACATCGCGCCCGAAAGAGACGAAAGCCTTTGAGAAAAGGCACAGACCGTTCAATCCGGATTAACCCGTTGAGAAACAGGACCAAGTTGCCAAAAACGAACTAGAGCATGTGAGAAAAAGGAGCAAACCACTGGAAAGAAATCAGAGCCTTTGCAGCTTTGCGAGAACGGTGGCAGTTCTCGAACAGCCCTTGAACTTAGAAAGGGAAGCAGTCTGCTGGTTTGGATTTGGATCATTTCAAAGCGCTCGACTGGACTTTTTGAGATAAGGGACATAGCCGTTCGTAACGGACTTCGGCATTTGACAAACACGAACCCATTGGACCAACTGCTCGAAAAGGAGCCAAACTCCGAGAAACACAAACAGATTGCTCAGAAAGGGTTGTAACAAATGGCTCGAAGAGGACTAGTGACTAGCGCGCGTTCCGCGCGGACAAGAGGGTTTGGGAAATCCAGCAAACCGTTCGAAAGTGATTGGAGAAACCGCTCCAAAGGGACTAGGGGATTTGCGAACAGGAGCAGGCCGCTCGAAAAGATCAGCAGGCAGCGTAGTTTGGGTCGGCTATATCGTTTCGAGAGACCTGTAAGATTTTCGGGATTGGGGGTCGGATGGAGGGCAGTGTAGGGCAAAGCAGTGAAACTTTCGTCGTACCGGAGGTTTGGGTTGTAGCTTTATCAGATTCTTGCGTGGACACATTGGCATAGCCTAAATGAATTAGTTTATCAAAAAATTATCGTTCTGGCCATCCTCAAATGATGGCCAACATCATCATCATCATCATCATCATCATCATTTTCGTCCTTGTTGAAAACATCATCCGAAAATCATCCTCATCCCTAGTCATCATCGTCGAACCATCTCCATCAGTAAGTCGGAGTGTCATATCATCAGGAGTAGTCAACTCTCCACTCTCCACTTGCAGGACGTTGTAGATGTCGATTGTGAACATGTTGTGGCTATTGATGGTGACACCAGTGACGTGTAGATTAGAATGGATGGAATGTCCTCGAAGCTTCTTTTTCCTCCTCTGCTGGAAGATGCTCCCTTTTCACTCCAGTCCCCACACTTCCTCTATACTCTAGATTCTACAGACTCTAGACTGTGCTATGGAATGCATTGCGATGCGTATCGTGCGCGCAGACAACAGAAACAGATATGGAACCAGGTCATCAGAGATCGCAGGCGTGTTGAATCGTCGGTTTTTGTTGCACGCAGGTCGCAGATGATCTGGCGAGGATGTTCTGGAGAGGATGATTCGAGGAAACCAGGATTGGAGGGGATGGATTTGAGGATGCTTTTGGGATGGCAGTTTGGAAAAGGCAAGATTGGAGGATGATTCGGTGATGCTGAGCCACGGCCTCAAACCGTCGTTGCCCAGGGGGGGCGCCCGGGAGGGGAGGGCCGGGCCAGGCAGGGGCAGGGAGTTCAAACAATCATCAAAAAATCATCAAAAAATCATCAGAAACTCATCAAAAACAATCATCCTCAAATCCTTCTCAAACCATCCTCAAATCATCCTCAAATCATCCCCAAATCATCCTCAAATCATCATCCTTTTATCGTTTCATCATTTAAGTATCCTGAAACCATCATTCTTGGCATCCTCCGTCCTGCGCGGATTATCCAAAATTCATCCTCGGGCCCCTCGGCCAAGTTGCCACGGTTCAAACACATCACGGTTTTTCGATGGGTATCGCCTAAGGGCCTACAGGGTCTAGGATGAACAGTGCGCCAATTGATTGACTATGTTCTTGTAGCATAACCCTGTAGCGGAGAAGAGGTGAGGCGATGGATCGGGTCGGGATGCTTGCAGCGGTCATCTGGGCCAGATGGTTATGTGATGCTCTTTCGGTAGTGAATTCTCATTAGCTGCCGGCTGTGTTGCCGAGTGCTTGCGATGGGACGTGGACCTCTTGAATGCACATACAAACTTGCATTGTATACATGCACTGACAAACACGACCCCTCAAAGACAAGTTTGCTAAGGCTTGTGTTTGCAGGTGATGCAGGAGGCTTTGAGGAAGCATGCGTGGAAGTACTCCTTGCATTTATTCGTGTGTGACTTACGCGCCTGGGAGCCCGATGATAATAAGATGATGATTGGTGGGGCAGAGGATGATTTGAGGATGATTCCGAGGATGATTTGATGATGACAAAGATGAAGATAAAATGATGTTTTAATTACTTAACTAAATCCAGTGTGTGGCTGGCTAAGATTCTTATAATTGTAGCTTTTATTGCTCAGATTGCAGCATTTCGCGTGGCATTGGTCGGGGCAGTTTAGGGCTAGGGATCACGTGCTTTGCTCCGCCAGTTGAGGGTTCATCAGTCTTGGGGTTCGACGTTGCAGAGCTAAAAAACTCAAAACCCCAACGTCGTAGAGCTGATCTGCCGTTGCACGAATGAGCTTATCGCAGCAAGAGGTCCGGCTACAGACAAGCGCCGTACTAAAACTCTATAAGTATGGTTTGAGATGAGTCAGTAGTGGTGTGTGGTTCAGAGTTTACAGTGTTTAGGGTGTAGTGAAAAGTGAGGCACGTTTACATCCTGATTGTGCAAGGGGGACCTGATGAGCCTTGGAGAATCTCCACCACCCGCGTGCCAAACCGCGACCCTCAAACCTAAACTCTAAACCGCAAGCTCTACGGCAGCGTCAACCCGAAACTCCAAGCCGCCAAACCGCAATTCCAACCCTGATACTTTACAACTACTTACCCGTGAACCTTGATAGAATCAGTTTTTGTTCCTCTACGCCCTAAACCCTAAACCCCTAGATCCGAACCCTAAACCCTAAAGCCTAAAGCCGTAAGAGAAGAGGCCCAAGATGAAGCTCGACAAGATGCAGCGGCAGTGCTACGACAAGCTCAACGAGCCCCAGGTGACCACAAATGGGCACGCAAAAGGGCAGCCCTCAAGAGAAACTAGCCTCAAACCCACTGATATCTGGGGGTTTTGGGGCTTGGATTTTGGCCGTTGTCTCGCAGAGAAGTGCGTAGGGTTGTCATGAGAAGAATGAGCAGGATAGCGCCCCGAAGGCGGCGCCTGTCAATTGAAGTGAAACACTTCGAAGCGACTGCTCGCCGGACTTACGGCCCTTGGCGCTGCCTTTAGGCCGTGAGCTAGAAGCTTAATAATTAGAGTTTCAGGAGTCTGTCGTCAATCAGGCACACTCTCTAGCCATGACTAGTCAGATGCTTTGGCGCATGCCGTTCAGCTTTCTGACAGATATGCGGCTGCGGCTGCTGGGGATGATGGTGATGATGATGTTGATTTTAATGTTGATGTTGTTGTTGTTGTTGATCACGATGGTGATGATGATGACAAAGGTCACGATGTTGAGGTTTGCTGTTGTGATTGCTATTGCTTTTTCTTGTTAGCACATGACCTGTGCAACTATGGCTAAAGAAGGTCTCTTGATTTTTCCATCGCGTTCATTGCTTAGAATCACTGCCGTCGGTGTCTTTGTCTGCCTTTTGTAAGTCGTCCCCTTGGCCTGTCTGCGATGTTGAGTTTGGTTCCTGCACTGCGTGCTGCTCATTCGGGCGTTTCCGAAAATAGGGGACCCTAATATCGTACCCTACATAGCACCCCTAATTTTCGGAAACTCCCATGTAGTACCCGCCATAGGAGCAGAGTAGGACTCGGAGTCGGAGAAGCACTTGCAAGGTGCTGTCTTTGCTGCTTCCTTACTTGAAGCATCGCGGCGATCAGCAGGCACTGTGGGCGTGACTTCTCTAGGAAAGCCAAAATCGGAAACTGCCAAAGGCCAGTCCAGAATCTGTATCCAAACAACCTACAGTCTACAGTCTGTTCACATCCAAAACCCTTGGAGTGGACTGAACCTGACTGCCCGAGTGCTTGACAATGATGCTTAGTGCTTAGTGTTGTCCCTTGGTCAACATAGGAGTACCAAGACGACTCGACGACGGCTTTTCATCGATGATTATGCTGCTGCTACTAGTGCTAGTGCTAGTACCAATTTCAGGTCTTGGGTTGCAAGTTTTGTGTCTGAGACTGAATTGTGGGGGTTTTTGGATCTTGGGCTTAATTACCAGTTGATTGGGGTGCCCTTCGTTTCAGCCAAGGTATTTGCTAAATGTGCCTGTTGTTTTCTCGGGCAGGCGCAGGGCATTCCTTACATGTACTTTAATTTGAGCGTATGTGGTATCCTCCTGCAGTGCCTTACTTTTGCAATGCGCAGGTAATTAGTGAATTAGTGTGTTTTGACAGTCGTCGCCATGGGATCAGGCAATCGGTGCCGACATCGCCCCTGTCATCGAGCTCATCGTGGCCTGGCATATCTTATCTGTTGGTTACTGCGGTTGATGGTATAAATCCTGCATTGCCCATAGTAGGGAACATACCATAATTCCCATAGTCTAGCGTCATTAAGGTAATGCAGGGTTTATATCATCAACCGCAGTACCTCTTCGGCTTAGAAGGCACAATGCTTGCACCAGGCAGTTTTGAAGGAAGGGCAACGGCAGAGATCCCAATCCCACAAGGCTGTCAACCTTAGTAAGCCTAGAGTAGACCCCAAAAAGTTGGAAAACGGATAAAGGACAACTGGTGCTGGGATTCCCTTTACACTACTCTTAACCATTGGGGCTACTGGGTTTCCAACTTGTAGGCTTCTACTATGTATAGAGCAACCCTCATAACAGCGCCTAAAGTAACCCTGAAAGAAGCCCCGGGTACTGAGAGCTCATCCTGCCTTGAACCTTAAGGCACGCAAAACCCTAACACCCCAACACCCCAAGCCCTAAACTCCTAAACTCTCATAGCCCCAAGCTCTAAATCCCAAAAGCCTTAACAAGAACCCGCACGCTGACAGCCCCATTCCTCGGGCTGTCAAGCTCGGGGCAGAAGCGAGTTGTTGGATCAAGAGTTTGGGTTTAGGGTTTTTGGGGTTCATCCGTCCAGTTCCCCCCCAAAAAAAGTCCTGGAACTTTAACGGTCATGCTTCGCCCAGCATGGGATCGGCTTTGGACGTTCAGGGTGCTTTGGGACGTCCGAGTCAAGTCTGGGGCTACAGCATGCAAGCACAGGGGCAGAGAGTAGAGAATCGCAAACCCTAACTAAAACCGAAGCGCCACACCTAAACGCAAAGCCTACGCTGTGAAGCCTCGACCCGAGACCTTAAATCCCAGCCCTACGCTCGAAATCGCAAGTTCCCAACCCTACAGGAAGCTAGAAGCCTTGTGCCCGAAACCTCATGAAACTCCTGTCTAAATTCCATGCAACCTGCGTAAAATCCTTGGCGGACGCCTCAAACCCATAGAAGACCCTGTCACCCTCAGAAGACCCGTTCAAGACCCTAATGACCTATAGAAGACCTTCAAAGCGCATGTTACACCCTAAACCCTCAACCCAAAACCTGAACCTTGTAATATAGGGGCCTCGCAGATTACCTATACTGTTTTGCGGGTTCCTTATCATATTTATAGTATACTGGGCCCCAAAACCCGATTCTAACTACTCAGGCCTCTCCATTATAGTGCCCTTATAGATCCCTTATAGTATCCCTTATAGACTTTTAAAAGGAGCCCTATTCTGATTATTCGGGCCCCTAAAGTAAGAGACCCTGTGAAATGCAAGGAGGGCCGACTCCAGAAAGCTTCAGCTCTTCCGTTGGGCTGGCGCAAGGCCTGGAACAGGGTTTGGTGTTCACGAGTTTAGGCTTTAGGGTTTAAGTTTATAGGGTTTAGGATGTATATAGGGATTTAGGGGTTTAGTTTGTAGTGAGACTTGGCAGAGGGTTTCATCGGGTATCGTGAGGTTTTGATAGCGTTGAGTTATAGCGGTGCGTCAGAAAGGTTTAGGGTTTGCGGAAAGTTAGATGAAGTTATCCTAGAGAAAGTTCCCCAACCCTGGGGCAAATGTTGCCAGATTCGACCCACAGGCCCCGCCAAGAGGGGTGGTCTAGGGATGAGAGCTGTGGGGTTAGGGGGAGCTGGGCTCTGTGACTTCGAGTGTTTCAGGGATTTTTGGAGCCAGGGCTTGAGCATTAGCATTTCCATAAACTTAACAGTCTCCGTTCTGGAGTGCTTGGCCTAAGCCTAGACCATCAAGCCAAAAGGGTTGTTGCCAAAGATGATGAATCGGAGGGACCCTTAATAAGAACCCCTAGGTATATACCCTAAATATAGCTATTCGATACTCATTATATAGCCCATTATAGGGTAGGGGTCCGGACGCTCCGGCGATTTCTAGGTGAAGTAAACCCTAGCGTTGGGGGATCTAACCTGGAATAGCTCATATGGGAGTTTCCGAAAATAGGGGACCCTAATATGGTACCCTAAATAGTAGGATCCTTATTATAAGGACCCCAAAATAAGGTACCCCCATTTTCGGAAACTCCCATATTGTCGTAGATCGCAGTTTCAACCCCGAAGCGTCTCCACAAACTTGGAGGTTGAATTGCTGGATCGATCTCTTCGCAGGCTGACGTGGCGAACAGGGCCTAGAACGACAGCAGCCCTATGCACTATGCCTTAAGTTTCCCAAGCCCTGCTTTCTGTAGCCTGAATAGTGTTCCGCCGACCCGAAACCATACAGCCGCAGCGCTTTAGCCTTAATCCTAAATCTTGCGCCCGCAAACTTTAAACATACTGGCAGTGGCATTACCCATATATCCAACATCTGGTGGGTCATAATTTTGCGGGTCGCACTGGGTGAGATGCGGTTCGGTCACGCTTGCTTGGTTGAGGTCTAAACCCTAAGCCCTCAACCCTACTAGCATGGACTCCTGCAGCATTTGCCAGGCTTCTACTTTTGATTTCAGCTGGTGTCCTGAGGTTTGGAAGCCTACTGTTTTTGAGGCTTGAGGATTTTTGCGACACCCGGAGGGTGTGGGGTGTGCTGGGATGAGGTTTGGGAAGTTGTGTCGGTGGAAAACACTTCCTTTCGCTCACTGTGTCTCTTCTCGCCTTAGCTGCGGCCCGGTCCCCTGCTCAACGTAAAGTAACTTGAGCACCTCGCGAGAGAACAAAGGTGCATGCGTCTACACATCAACACGAATCTGCTTTGCCTTCTCCTCGCGAAGACAAATGAATGGCATCATCTTGGAAACTTACCATGGCAAGCAAGACACATGCTTTATCATCTACATCTATGATTGGGTGTAAGCATTGTAGGGTTTAGAGATGGAGGTGAGGCTTTTGGTTGCAGCCTCTTGAGTGGTTGAACGCTCGAGTGGTTGAAATGTCAAGGTTCCGGGTGTGGTGTTTTTGAGCTCAAAATTTATGGATGAGCTCAGGGTTGAGCGATGAATTCTGCTTTTGCACAGTCCTCCCAAACATAAACCTCAAAAGCCCTAAACCTCAGACGGCTAGCCAGACCAGACCTTCCTAAACCCGAAGCTTGGTCGTCCAGGATGAATACGTCCCGTCTCCTGGAGCTTCTTGTCGGCCACCAGAAGGTGGGCCAGAGTCCTTTTCTAAACTGTTTGGTTTAAGGTTTGGGGTTTAGGCTTTGGGGAGTCTCGCCACCGCACAGGGGCAGAAATTGGTCTGGGGATGGTGCCCTACAATGCGAAGGGGGCGGCGTATCCACGTCTTTGGGACACCGGGGTGTAGCTTCCTGCAAACAATACCGTAAAGCTTGACTTAAGTGGGTGCTCGTTTCTTTTAGCAACCCACTGCGGGCTTGATGTCCTAGAAAAGTACCCTAAATAGTAGGATCTTTATTATAAGGAGCCCCAAAAGAAGGTACCCCTGTTTTCGGAAACTCCCATGAAGCTCGCGGGGCGTCCTCGAAGCTCTTTGGGGTTGTTGGGGCACCCCCTTTCCGGATATGTGGAGCCTCTGGAGGCCGATTAAAAGGGGGGCAGTAATGTAGGAAACCTGATTCAGAAACCCTGGCCCTTTAACCCAATATATTCTGATCTATTTCAAGAACCCTAATAAGGGCCCAATGCTTCTTAATCAGGTTCCTACATTAAGGTTTTCGTGACAACAATGCTATGTGGGCAGGCAGAGGGGACTTCCCTCGGTGCGTATAAAGGGAAAACCAAGCCCTGGAGCAGACGACGACGAGAGGCGGATGACGATAAGAATGGTAGTACAGAGCCCTGAAGTACTTGGTAGCACTAGTCTGCAGTCCCTATCGGATGACAGGAAGAAACTCCATATCTTCAAGCCTTTACTACACCGAAATCCCAGTCTCCAAGCCATAAACCTAAACCTTAAACTCCACATGCCCTAAAGCCCTCGACCTTGAACCCAAAGCCCTTGCAGATCCCTTAAAGGAACTTTTCAAGGACTCTTTCAAGAAGGAGCCCTTCAAGAACCCTAGGCCAATCCGAAAGAAAGCTAAAGGCCCTAGAGCCCGCCTCCTCCAGGTCGACACTAAGTTCCTCATGCTGAAGAACCCCTAAAAACCCTCAACCCACCCTAAACCCAAGTACCGCAAACCCGAAGCCTACCACCTCAAACGCTAAACCCTACACCCTACACCTCAACCCCAAACGCTGAATCCTACAGGCTAAGCCCTAAAGGCTGAACCCGAAACCCTAAGGGCTCTCTCCTCCAGGTCGAGAGGAACTTCTCAGAGCAGATCTCCCTGCTCTTCGGTCGAGCACGGGCGGACATCCAAACACGGTCAACTCTGTAGGGTTTTAGTGTTTAGGGCTTACGGTTTAACGGTTTAGGTTTAGCGTGCAGGGTTTAGGGTTTGGGGACTGTGCGCTTTCTCTGTCCCTTTGGGTTCTAGTTATTTTTTCGGGTTTCCAAGATTTTGGAGCATTAAGGCTTCAGGGTAGTGGGGCGGTAGGGCCTTAGGATTCAGGTTTTCTGTGGGCTTCTTTCGAGATGTTACTGGGTTATCGGCTGCGTGAAGCATGCTTAGGCCTAGGCTTGATGGCAAAAAGCTGGATCAAGTCGCATGAAATGCATTTTGCATCGAAGGGTTGCACTTTCAAGCGCAGGATGCTGACAGTGTCGCATCTTTGTAAAGACTTGGGCATGAAGCCCTTGCCCTTGTGGTGATTTTGAAGGTACGTTTGGCGACTCAAAGCCAACGCCGGCTCTCAAGCGGTTCAGAATCCATAGGCGAGCTTCTGATCTGCCAAGTTTCAATCATGGATATGCTGTGAGGGCTGGCATTGAGTGGTTTTGGGGCTGCGACTTCGCACCAGTAAACCCACCCCTACGATGAGATCCAAGACTCCTGGCTTTAGAACGTGTGGGTCTGCGTAGCTATCAGAAGCATGCAAGCATGCCACAGGTGCAGTCAGTAGCGTGTTTCAAGCGGGGTGGCCACAGTGCAAGGATGTGCGGCGGTAGCATCAGTATCGGGTACTGCATCCGGCAGTACTGCAGCATGGCACCGCTCGTCTGTGGGCTTCTTTCGAGATGTTACTGGGTTATCGGCTGCGTGAAGCATGCTTAGGCCTAGGCTTGATGGCAAAAAGCTGGATCAAGTCGCATGAAATGCATTTTGCATCGAAGGGTTGCACTTTCAAGCGCAGGATGCTGACAGTGTCGCATCTTTGTAAAGACTTGGGCATGAAGCCCTTGCCCTTGTGGTGATTTTGAAGCTACGTTTGGCGACTCAAAGCCAATGCTGGCTCTCAAGCGGTTCAGAATCCATAGGCGAGCTTCTGATCTGCCAAGTTTCAATCATGGATATGCTGTGAGGGCTGGCATTGAGTGGTTTTGGGGCTGCGACTTCGCACCAGTAAACCCACCCCTACGATGAAATCCAAGACTCCTGGCTTTAGAACGTGTGGGTCTGCGTAGCTATCAGAAGCATGCAAGCATGCCACAGGTGCAGTCAGTAGCGTGTTTCAAGCGGGGTGGCCACAGTGCAAGGATGTGCGGCGGTAGCATCAGTATCGGGTACTGCATCCGGCAGTACTGCAGCATGGCACCGCTCGTTTCAAGGATGCTTTCGGGCACTGGTCTGTAATTTCGACAACAGCTCACATAGTCCGCACACACACCACGGCGCTGCGACGTCAGCTTGCAACTGAAGTCTTTGTTGATCACCTACTTTTGTGAGGTTGGCTTTTGCTTCTATGTCGTGGTTGAGTCGAATTTTCTGATTTGGTTGCTGCGACCTGGTAATTGGGCATCATGCGCACAGAAAGGTATTTGAGGAATCGATGAAGGCGCAATATTGAAGAATGACACCAGCAGTTGTAACTCGACAGAAGTGGCACCAATCGTGAAGGTAGCCGCACGAGTAATATCTGTGCTTGTACAGCTATATGAATGATGACACGAAAACTATGAAGAACATTCAGACAAACGACAGCCAATCTACCTGTATCGTCTAGCAAAGGTCTAACAGTGGCTATAGTCAGGTTGTCGCACGAGCTGAAAACAGCGGCACAAAGCACCAATCAGCAAGACCGTACTGACCAACTCCAACCTCAAGTCCCAGCTGTAATGAGAACTACAGCCGCAATCACCAGTATTGGTAGTAGTGCAGCAGTAGTAGCAGTAGTAGTCGTAGTAGCAGTCGCAGTAGTAGTAGTAGTAGTAGTAGTAGTAGTAGCAGTAGTAGTAGTAGTAGTAGTAGTAGTAGCAGTAGTAGTAATAGAAGCGGTAGTCGTAGTAGTGGTAGTCGTAATAGTAGCAGGAGGAGGAGGCAGTAGCAGCAGTAACAGTTGTAGCAGTCGTTGTCGTCGCAGCAGTAGCAGTAGCAAAGCAAAGTAGCAAAGTAGCAAAGGTGAAACTAGCAAACTAGCAAAGTAGCATTAGGAGTAGTGGCAGTGCTAGTAGCAGTAGTAGTAGTAGTAGTAGCAGTAGTAGTAGTAGTAGTAGTAGTAGTAGTAGTAGTAGTAGTAGTAGTAGAAGTCGTAGTAGTAATCGTAGTAGTAGTCGTAGTAGTAGTAGTAGTAGCAGTAGTAGTAGTAGTAGTAGTAGTGGTGGTGGTGGTGGCAGTAGTAGCAGTTGCAACACTTGCAGACCTAGCAGTACTAGCAGCACCACTAGCGCACCACTAGCAGTACTCGCAGTACTAGCAGTGCTATCGGTACCAGCAGTATTAGCAGTGCAAGCAACACTGGCAATACTAGCCATACGAGCAACACTGGCAGCAGCAGTAGCAGTAATGCACTTTCATGGTAGCAGCAGCACTAGCAGAGGTAGCAGTAGCAGAAGTAGCAATAGCAGTGGTAGTGGAAGCAGTAGTAGTGGTAGTAGTAGTCGCACTAGTAGTAGTAGTAGTAGTCTTAGTAGTAGTAGTAGTAGTAGTAGTAGTAGTAGTAGTAGTAGTAGTAGTAGAAGTAGCAGTAGTGATAGTCGTAGTAGAGGAAGCAGTAGCAGTAGCGGTAGCAGTAGCGATATCAGTAGCAGCAGCAGTATTATTGTTATTTTTAGTAGTAGCAGCAGCAGTATTTGTAGTAGCAGCAGCACCAGCAACAGTTGCAGTAGCAGTCGTCGTCATAGCAGTAGCAGTAGTAGTAGTAGTAGTAGTAGTAGTAGTAGTAGTAGTAGTAGTAGTAGTAGTAGTAGTAATAGTAGTAGTAGTAGTAGTAGTAGTAGTAGTAGTAGTAGTAGTAGTAGTAGTAGTAGTAGTAGTAGTAGTAGTAGCTGCAGCAACAGTGTAGAGCTTTGATGGCTGACTTGACTTGTCATGTGAAAGCACCCCATACGAGGTTCTCTCGATGTAGGTCCTTACGAACCTTGAGTTCTAGGATCCGACGATATAGGGTTGATAATTCTTGCTTCGCTGGAGCTCCCATACTTCTCCAGGTCTCAGATCCTGCAATATGTCCGTGCCGGCCTAGGCAGACCCTGAAGCGGTCCAAACGGTCGACCAGAACTTAAAAGTCTGTAACCCCACTTCGCATTTAAGATCGTCCATGTCTCGCAGGGCAGACAAGTCTAACATGATCTCGACGTTCTACACCATAAGAGGCATAGTGGGCTTTTCCATGACATTCACTTGCAACGTCTCGAGGCATGGGGGCACCCCTTTTGCACCCCTTTTGCAGAGCATGGGGGGAAGAGCAAGGGCATGCACCGTCCTAGGTTTGAAGTCCCTACCCGCTTAGCCGTGACTTGCACCATTGCATGTAGCTCCGGTGTTCTCGTAGCTGATGCAGTTCCAGGGTCGTACTGTGATCTGATGTAGTTACCATGTGAGTCGTGACGATGCAGGTGACAATGACGCTGGTAATAACGCATGCAGCAGTGGTGAGTTTCTCCTTCATCAGCGTCATCAATGAATCATGACCATGATGATGATCCCACTCAACGTCACCACCCTTATTCTATATGCCATCCTCCCGCTCCGACTCGTCGTCGTCCTCCTGCTGCTGCTGCTCCTCCTCCTCTTCCTCCTCCTCGTCATCATCATTATCGTCATTGCCGTGGCCATCACCATCATCATCATCATCGTCTTCGTAATCGCAATGTCGTCGCTGCCCTCAATATTTTCATTGTCATGGTCATCCTTGGTGTTGGCTGAAACCATCGAATCAGTCTTGCAACCAAAGCACAGTCCCTTCTTTTTTTGTCTTGGTTAAGACCCCTTCAACCTGGGCGATGAGTGTTTTTGCTGCTGAACTGCTTGCAGCAGTTGTCATGAGTTTTTTTTTAACCGGCGCCTACCGCAGTAGAGCGATGCGCATATATATCTGGCCACTGCAGCAGGCATACATGTAAACTTCAATCGTCCCATAGGCTTGGTTCTGGGTTGCCGACGCTTCCAACTCATGCCCTAAGCTCCTGAGGCTCCATGCTTCAAATTTTCAATCCCACATGATCTACATCCTGAGCCATGTGCTTCATCGTGACCCGAAGAACTAGACACGATGTTCGGGAAGACTGGTCGGATTTGGGTTGGTAAACTGCACGTGGAATGAGAGGAGAATGTAGGTATTGTGCTTTCATCGTACGAACTGTAGTACGCTATGCCCGCAAGCCCTACTTTAGTCATTCAGGCCTTTCTAGTAGACAACTGTGCTGCTGCTGGCCTGGAGTGTGGCCATGGATAGCAGTGTGGGATTTCAGCGTCTGTGCTTTGCTCCTTCGTGGAAGCTCGACAAGTAGGTTATTAAGTGGTTAAGTCAAAGATGACGGACAGTTGAAACCCTAAACCCTACCTGGACCCCAAATACCCTACGTTTTTAGGGTTCTCTGATATGATTTCTGTATATAAGAAAGGTAGCCTCTTCGCTGTAAGCCCCAAGACCTAAAACCTAAACCCTAACCCTCAACCCCTGACTTCAAGCCTTAAGCCCTAAACCCCCAAACTGAACCCCCAAACCCTAAACTCTGGACGGTAAACCAACAAATCCCTAAGCCTACTTGGAGGATCTTGGGACTGAGTAAGATAAGTACCTTGATTGGGGTTATAAGTAGTTATAGGTATAGTTACCTTAATTACAACCTAGTTACTACGTCCCATGATCCTTCAAGTAGCAGCAGCCCTCAATTCCGAGCTACGGAAGTCGACAGCTTCTTCGGGCCCAAAGCGCCCCGCGGATGAAGAAGCTAATCTCAGGAGAGACCTTAGGGTTTAGGGGTTTGGGGTGTAGGGGTTTAGGGGTTTAGGGGTTTAGGGTTTTTGGTCTAGGGTTAAGGGCCGAATTACTTAGATTCTGTTTTGATTCTGGGCAGCGCTGGTCGGCGAAGGCAGAAATCCCACCTTTGACTTAA